TTAGGGCAAATATTAGAAATTCTAAGAAAAAAAATCAAAGTATCTATTTCTTGATTTTCACTTAAATCGTTAGGTCCAATATTATAAACCATTAGATTAAATTGATTCTAGAACAAACTAAATACTACGAGGTCCCACCTCTCCTCCCGCGGCATAGGTACGCACCTACGTACGCTTCCCCTCCCTTTTTTTCATTTTTTCTCCTTCTTTTTTTTCCTATGCATATGCTTCCCTCCCTTTATTCCTATATCATACGCCTTTATGAGACGATTTAATCAAAAGAATTTTGAGTATCTTGCACTCGCATTTTTCATTTACGGTCATACTACACGGTATATATATAGATGGACTATATAATAATTAACTAGCAATACCTTTTAATAATATAAGTGCCCGCACATACGCGCGGGCCAACTTCCTAATTTATAAGTAAAACTTTTATATACATGTTCTTAGCAATTTAAAAGTAAGGCTGAAAAATAAACTTCGATGAAAAAAAACGCCAAAATGAGTTTTAAATTTAAGGTTGAAGATTTAAATTTTGTTTGATAAGAGGCTTTGCAGCGGGTGGCAACGGATGTGGTTTACCAGTGGATGGTGATGTTTTTGTTGCCGTTGTTGTGGACGTTGACGATGACGAGGTCGCCCTTTCGCGCGTAGATGGTCGGGCCAGGGAACTGCCCGTTCACGGTGAGGATGCTCTTCTTGTGGCACAGCCTCGTGTAGTTAGTCTCCGTAATCTGCAGATCTCATCACGCATGGTTAAAACTCAAAACTCATTTCGTGCATTCATTAATTCCTGTACATCGACGACATTGATCCGCGAACACGCTAGAATTCAAGTAGATCATCACTTGCAAAGAAATCGTAGTGGCGAGTCTTGGCGCCATGAGCGGGGTTAACTACTGCAAGTGCTAACACCATGCCTGCTAGTAACCAAAGCAATAATGCAGGTATCTTGCCTGTTGATCCCATCGCCGAACGCACACAGTATTCAATCTCCAATCCAAGCGTATAAGAACACACAGAGCTAATTGAGATTCTTGTACGCGCGAGGTAGTTATTTGGTTCTTCGCAGTAGCTAACTAGCTAGTGCCGTAAGCTGCTGCTTTGCCTGAGATGGCCATCATCTGACGAATATGTATTTATAGGGAACGCATGTATGCATCATGCATGAACGTGACGACTGATGACTATTCTCCCACGAAATTAGCAATTTATTAATCGTTCTCCAGCCGCCACGGCGTGAAAACGTTAAAATGGCGTGAGTTGATTGGCGACAAAACTGACGGCATCTTGAAGTTCAAATGGCTCCCGAACGAGAAAATTACATATCTACCATCGCATAAGAATTGCTTCGCTAGAATACCATCATTAAAATAGGCTTCACTGAAATACCACTCTCAAACCATGGGTGTTCACTGCAATGCTATTTTTGTGATTTCTTGCATTTCGAAATTATTTTTCCTCAATTACATATTTTCTTGGACCGTTCTACCCCTGGGTCACATGTTGAATCACATGGTGGCTGGTGTGAATCTCGCGAGCGGAGGGTGAAGCGGCGATGCCGGTGCTCGTGCGGACGCCGCGCCGCGGGGCAACTGACGGGTGCCGCGTCTGCCGCGCTCGTCGTCGCCTCCGTCGCGCGAAGGAGGGTGGCGGCGGGGAGGAACGACTCCGACGCCGCGCCGGGGGAGAACACGGCGCTGCGAACGCGCTTCTACGGCTGCATCCGCGTGTTCCTCGTCCTGTCCTGCTGCTGCTCGCCGTCGAAGAAGTGGTGTCTCTCCTCGCCACTTGCTTCTGTCGGGAGAATGCTCTCGAATTGGAATTTCAGATAGACTGTTCATTCGCTTGTCTTGCCACATTCATAATCTGCCTGAATCAAAATATTCGAATTTTGAGCTGTAATAGAAATTCGATCCCTAGTTCTAGTTTTTCTCTGCGCGAATTGAACAGGAGGATTCTGTTCTTTTGGGAATTCGGATTTTGTGTGGACTCTGCATTGGATTGGGTTGGATCTTTGACCTGTGTTCCTCTTTGACCCGTAAATGTTTCTGGATGGTTTCTGAAATTATGAAGTTGCCGTGATCTTGCTTGCTCCATACGGAGTACACTATAACAAGAACATAATTTGGTGTTTTAAAGGTTGAATTTCGGCATCTGCACCAGCACCGGCGTCGCCGCTTCTCCAAGGGTAGAATGGTCCGAGAAAATGTGTAATTGAGGAAAAATAATTTTGAGATGCAAGAAACCAAAAAATGGCATTGCAGCGAACACCCACGCTTTGAGAATGGTATTCTAGCGAAGCCCATTTTAGTGATGGTATTCTAGCGAATCCATTCTTATGCGATGGTAGATATGCAATTTTCTCCTCCCGGACATGCGCATCCTCTGTTTCCTGCTTCTTCAACCAAATCAACACTAGATGTACATGTTGGTTAACTTAATTAATTTTGGGCATATGGGAGCAGTCGAGGTTGTTAACGAACCGATGCCCTGTTTAGTTTCAAAGTTTTTTTTCTAAACTTTAAACTTTTCATCACATTAAACCTTTCATATATACACACAACTTTTCTATCACATCATACCAATTTCAACCAAACTTCCAAACTTCAGTGTGAACTAAACACAGCCCGACTAATCAACGCGGAACGAAATTGATCTTGAGCAGACACTCATCCGTGTTTCGTCATACCTTGGTGGGGGCACGTAATTAAGCACTCGATCAAAGGTCTAATTGGGCACGTTTGCATATGTTCGGCGGCCAGGGAGATTATCAATTCAATTATCATACATTGAGTTGGTGGTTTTCGTGATTTCGTCGTAGCCTAGCGGAGGTAAGTAGGCACGCACTCGATCAAAGTCTCAAAGGGCACCTTTGCATGCGTTTGGCGGCCAGGAAGCTTCTTCTTTTTTAAAAAAAAGAAGGGCCGCCAGGAAGATTTTGAAATCGACTACTCCTATCAAACACTGCACTACAGTGAACAAATCAAACGCCCTGAAAATCAACTGTAATCCAAGACAATTTTACTGTAATCCACTAAAAATATGTCAACGCAATTTTAGTTTTTCCCCACAAATAAACACCGAAATTGCTATGCATCTATTGCAAGATTTTTTTTGTTAGAGATCTTGCAATTTTTCTGACCATTGGATTTTTATATTGAGATTCATGTTAGGGACTTCCCATAAAAAAAATGCAAATGCGTGAGAGAAGGGATCCTTACCACTTGACCGAGTTGCTGATTTCGTAGCCAACAAGATATTTATAGCATAACTAGAAAGGAAACCCGCGTATATACACATGAAACTTATTTATTATTCATAAAAAAATATTAAAAGAAGTCATATCTCTCCATATTTATTATAACGACCGTAAATTATCTTATAATAATAAAAGAAAGAAATTTTTATACCGTGAATTGACTATAAACATTAATATCTTAAATGATAAGAATATCTCGAGTGTCACAAGTCATCCCTTAACCATTTTCATATCTATTACATCCTTCGACATCGTTAGTAGCATCCTCATATCCTCCGATGACTTCGGGCTTGTTCACTTTGCTATCATTTTTAGCATTGCTAAAACTTGGTAAAGTTGCTAAAATTTTGGTAAGGTTATCAAATTTTGGCAAGATTTTATATGTACTTACTAAAATTTGGCAACAAACTAAACGTAGCCAAAATTTTAACAACTTTACCAAAAAAATGGTATGGTTAAAAATGCATCAAATTGAACATGCCCTTCTTTGCCCCTTTTGCCAATTATGCATTTTTAGTCTCTCTCTTACTCATCTTTGATGCTTTGAGCATGCACACCCTCCTAAGTCATGAGAACTTACCCATCCTCCATTTTCAACGTCTCGTACTATCACCTTTCCTTTTCTTTTAGATAACAGAGTATTTCATTAATCAATGAGAACGTCTGACATTTGCACTAACTAGAAGTGCACATAGTAAAAAAGAAAATAAATGTAAAAATGCTAGACAACATGAACATATTATGTTGCTATATGCTGCAATGTGACGGCTTTGCTCTACTAAAAAAAGAAGAAGACATAGTAACAATGTAACATAAACACCTTTCTAACTATTTACGCTTTTTTAAGCTCTTTTCCGTTCACTTCTGGACTTTTTGGCTGTGTGCCTACGAGTAGAGGAGGCAGAGGCCGGAGATGTAATCCATTTCCATTATTAAAAAAACTATTTACGCTGAGCGCTTCTCTATTGCCAACATTATGGGTGTCATTATTGTTGTCTATCTTGAAAAAAGAAATTACGATTTGTCATCGGAGAAGAGGAATTCATTGTCAACTAAAATTCAAGTGTTTCTTAGGAGATTCATACCTATATAATAGAAAATTCAATCCGTTGAAAATATTGAAAATATGCAGTTCTCATGTTCTAAACTTGTCATTGATTATTTGTTGTAGCACCTTAAATATTGGTTTTGATTGCTTACGTATGGCTATCAAAAGTGTATTAAACTCGTTTCACATCTACACTTTCTTTATGTTGGTTATTTATACTATAAAAGAGAATGGAGGGAGTGCTATATTTTGTAGTATAATCACATTTGTGCAATCTAAACTAGCACCAAAAGAGTGGACTGAAAACAACATACATAATAATTGGAAAAAAAGAAAATAACTTCATCTTTTCATTTATGTTTATCAGCCAAAATTTAAATTTACAACCTTAAATTTGGAGTTGATTTTGAGATTTTTTTTATTGTATTTTATTTTCCAGCCTTTGTTTTTAATTCGTTAAGAATACGTATATAAAACTTTTATTCACAAATTATTTTTCATTTGCAAATATATTGTTTCGCATTTTCCTTCTATATGCTCGACGAAGGGGCCGAAAATTTGTTTGTATTTTGAGGGGCCAAAAGCCCAAAATTGGGTTCATTTTCAATTCACACAAAAATCGCTTCCCACACCGACACACCGTAGTAGTAGTAGTAGTAGTAGTGGTGGTAGTAGTAGTAGTAGTACCGTACAAGCCGCCCTTGTCCGCCTTCACTTCCCTAAACCCTAAACCACCCACTTTCCCCAATCCCCACCTCAATGGAAGAAGCGGACGACGCCCCGCCGCCGTGGAGGCCCAGCAAGCCGGCGGCGGCCATCGACGGCTCGTCGGGGCCCCTCGCCGCCGCCGCCGCGCGCCTCTCCGGCCGCTCCCGCGCGCTCCCATCCTCCCGCGACTTCCACTTCTACAACAACTTCCCCTCCTTCAGGTCCCCCGTCGGCGCCGCCGCCGCCAGGGCGGGCGCCTCCCTCGCCGCCCTCGGCGCCGCCCCCTTCTACCCGAAGCGGCACCCGCCGTTCCCCGGGGACGACCTCGACGACGCCCAGGACTGGGTCGTCGGCGTCATCGACGACCTGGCCGAGCAGTTCGGCGCCTCCATGGACGAGTTCAAGGCGGCGCGGGAGGAGGAGGAGGCGACTGGCCGGAGGGCGACGGAGGAGGACGGGTTCCAGGTTGTTTACGGCAAGAAGAAGAAGAAGGTGATGGGCGGCGGCGGCGGCGAGGAGGGGGTTGGTAGAGGTGGTGAGGCGTTTGGTGGTGGTTCTGGCTCGGTGAAGATGGCCACCAGGGATAAGTCGGCCGCGCCGGGGGCGAAGGCGAAGGTGCCATTCCACATTCCCACCATCCCGCGGCCGCAGGACGTGCACCGCATATTGGTGGACAACTCGAGCAAGCCATTCGAGCATTCATGGCTTGAGAAGAGCGATGATGGTTCCCGTGTTGTCCATCCATTGGTTAGTGTTCTGCTAAATACCTTACATTTGTGCTAACCTCACATCACAATAGTTGTCCTTCCTTATTGCCCTTGATTTGATTAGTTTGATTATAATGAAAAGATTCCGCCAGTAAAAAGCAATGATTTTTTTTATTTAGTGAAGCATGTAGAGAGATTATGGGATTAAGAGATCAGCAAGTAATGTAACAGCTGATTATGTGAAAAATAGAATGTACAGTGCAAATAGAAGTTGGTAAGATGGCACATGAATATAAAAGAATCATGTATTCTGCTAGTGGAGACTATGGTATTACTAATGGGCAACATGGCTATATCAATGGAACTAGGATAATATAGTCACATTAAGGTTGTGTTCTTCCCCCCATTTTCCCAACCCATCTCTCTCATTTTCCGCGCGCACGCTTTTCAAACTGCTAAACGGTGTGATTTATGCAAAAACTTTCTATATGAAAGTTGTTTTAAAAAATCATATTAATCCATTTTTCAAAAAATAGTTAATACTTAATTAATCATGCAATAATACGAGCTTCGTTTTGCGTGCCGGGGAGGAGGGGTTCCCAACCCCTCCTCCCTGAACACAGCCTAAGAAGAAATGGAAAAGTAGGACATTTCCCTTTCCGCACTGCAATTAATTGAGATCCATCATTGGACAGATTAGAAAGAAGTGGATGTTTTCTTGTTCTGCATTTATATTTCTATCACCAAATGTGCAAAACAATTCACACAGGAAAAGATCCCCATGGAACAATTGGTTGACAGAGATTTTCCTGAAAGCGAGCCGATAAAGCCTCCTGCTTTGGATGATACCCCTTTTACACATGTCGAAGACTTGAAATCCTTGGAGGTGCTAGCTACAAAGCTGAAGAGTGCAACCGAGTTTGCTGTAAGTTTTAGTAGTAGTTTTTACTAAAGATATTTTCTTTTTGGCTTCAAACAAATAATATTGAAAATATTCAGAATTCTATTACTCTTATTAGCTGAGATTAGCATTGTAAAGACCAGGGTTTCAATTGTCTTTTTTCAATATATCGCTGAGCACCGTATGGACACATAGGGGTATTGCTTTCCTATTATAACTTCTGAGGAGTGGATGTTGAGAGTTAAACAATCATATTCCATACTGCAACTGTAGCCTCTCTTTATATATTATATATTTTGGTGGGAATCTGAAGATGAACTGTTGGAAGTAACATGTGAGATCAGTTATGTTATATTGATCTCATGATCCTATCTGCCGCCACCACGCAACTATCTTTTACCAATAACTAACAAAAGTTGGTGGTGAATTGATGGATTCTGCACGTTGAGCTTACATTTAGCAACCACATTTGAAAATTTGCATGGACTAGTTAAGTTGAAACTTAGGAAAAAGTCCACTCCCCACTCAACTCTTTATCCGGTTAATTTTACACCCTGAACTTCAACGCCAATTAGTTTTCATCCCTGAACTGTTAAAACTACTTTAACTTGCATAGTGGTTTGTTATGTGGCTGCAGCATCATCTTACCACCTTATTTGGAAGAAAACAAAAACACCCCATGTGATTTTCTTTCCACAAATACTCATGCCATGTCAGCTGTGTTTCATGTAGGATGCAACCTCACTGAAAAGCACCCTCAAAACCATCCTTGAGACACGATTTGCATGGTTTTGGTAGTTGTATGATGTTTCTAAACAATATTGAAGTTCAGTGTAAATTAAATCTAAATATATATTACTTATCATTATCTTTATTGTCCACTCCACGCTCATACATTCGTACCGCTGAAATACATATTTGCATGTATTTACACATTTTGTTAATGCATTACGGTTTCTAGAAGACGGTTCACAATTTTGGCAAGGCAGTGCTTGGCAATCCTTTTATGCTCCCTATTCTCCAGTGTTGTACAGCATTTACTGTTTTTCGGTCTGAGTTCTCTCTTTGTTAATGGAAGTTAATGTTTCTCTTGTTCCACCTGTTTTCAGGTTGATTTGGAACACAACCACTATAGGTCTTTTCAGGGTCTGACCTGCCTGATGCAGATTTCAACTAGAACTGAGGACTTTATAGTGGACACTCTTAAGCTTCGCAAATATCTTGGTGATTACTTAAGAGAAATTTTTAAAGACCCAACAAAGAAAAAGGTATAACATGCTCTTTCATCATTTTCATACATGTGCATATTGTTATATGCTCCAATTGTGTAGATTCTCATTGCTCTTATGGCACATAGGTAATGCATGGTGCAGATCGTGATATAATATGGCTTCAACGGGACTTTGGCATATATGTATGCAACCTTTTTGACACAGGCCAGGTATAGTGCAACATTAGCTGGATAGCGGCATGGTGCTTTGCATTACAGCTCTGTTTTGCAAATTTGATTAAATCATCATATTGTTATTCTGTTAACCGAAGCTTGACATTACAAACAGGCTTCAAGAATCTTGCAGATGGACCGCAACAGCCTGGAGCATCTTTTGCATCATTTCTGTGGAGTGACTGCAAACAAAGAGTACTTGCAATTTTTTGTTTTATGCCCATAACACATTAGCACTCCAATATGCCAACTTGTCTACCATGTCATGAATTTTATTCCAGAAGACATGACTAAGACATACAATCATACATGTCATTGCAGATATCAGAGCGCAGATTGGAGGTTGAGACCACTTCCTGATGAAATGATCAAGTAGACTACCTTTCTGAAACCCCTCATGAATTTCCTTCTATTTCCATGTTATACATCCACTTTTTGTCGATGGCTCTACTCTCGCTGATCATTTCCATCAAATGTACCTGATTATGCCTTCTTTGTTTAGGTATGCTAGAGAAGATACACATTATCTGCTTTACATATATGATTTGATGAGACTCAGACTGGTGAAAGAGTCTTCAGATGAAAATGATCTTCTTTTAGAGGTTAGATTTTTGCTCCCTATGTTGACTTTGCTCCCTTATCTGGTGGTCAACCTGTCTCTGACAGCAACAACATTTATGCAGTCCCAGTTTTCCCTGAGTCTTTACCATCCTTTTGGTGTTTGAATATGTGTGTCCTATCTTTATTGAAATGGCATAGACTACTGCTGAAGCACACATGTTCATTCTTTTGTTACACTTCTAACCATGTAGAGGCATAGAGCATACAAACAAGTAATCTGATATATCTTTTAACTGCAGGTTTACAAGCGAAGCAAAGAAATTTGCCTGCAACTATATGAGAAAGAACTGCTGACACATTCATCATATCTTTACATACATGGGTTTGTATTTTGCTTGTGGTGCTGCTTTTTTGTTATAAATAATGTTCATGCTACGTAAGGCCAATTTTATTTAATTCCAGGTTGAAAGAAAATGAATTTGATGCAAGGCAGCTGTCAGTTCTTGCTGTAAGTACTCTTTTTGGGATTGAAATGTTTGCTTGATTCTGGCATTTTGACATTGATGAATTTTCTGCACCTAGAAGTACTGAATCGTCCAGCATTTTGGTTGAAATGAAATATGTAGTACCTCCAGCTCCAAAATTTGGTCTTCACAAATGATTTCTTATTGAACTTTTTCTTTGTTTTAGTTGCCCCTAGTATTCTTAACTCTTAATGTCCTAGTGTAAATGAAACTTCACGTACATATATTTTAAAGATACTACCCTATTTTGTTTCATATTTGTTAGCTCAGTGCCATACTTCCAGTTAAAACTATTAATTTTAATGTATACTGAAATGATTCTGTTGCACCAGAATTAATTGATTTCCTCCACAGAATATATATAAATGGAGAGATTCCGTTGCTCGTGGCGAGGATGAGAGCACTGGTTATATATTGCCGAATAAGACGCTGCTTGAGATAGGTATTGCTAATTTCGATATATTGCTTATATGAATGGCTTCACTTGGCTAACCATTTCCTTTCTGTTCTGGATCTAAAGCAAAGCAGATGCCTGCGACCACTGGGAGGTTAAAAAGAATAGTGAAATCAAAAAATTCGTATCTTGAACGCCATCTTGGCCATGTTATTTCCACTATCAGGAGTGCCATTGCAAATTGTGATGCTTTTGAAAGTATAGCTGAGCAGTTAAAGAAGGGACGTCTGGAAGAGGTGCTATGCTGATTACATTTGATTTGAATTATATTAGGAATGTAGCAGGAGCTTTTTCTCTGAGAATTACTGAAAGCTTCAGAACTTCCTTTCGTATTAACATATGGTTTTGGTGCAGTTGGCAGTGGCAAACATGAAGAGCAACGATGGAGACACTGAAATGGTTCCTGCTGATGATGGTAATAACGATGATGATAATGTTGGCCCGAGTGATGAACATGGTGCTGTTGCCAGTGTTGAAAATGTTGGCGCTGCTTCTCATTGTACTGGGAATGTTACAAGTGGAGCTTCTTCAGTTAATGTACAGCTAGAAAACCCTGCAGAAACTAAGAGCTTAGGAATCTTGTCGGGTGTTTCTGGACAAGATATGGAGGTACTGAGCAATGGTGATAGGAAGCAAGTAAGGAAAATAAACTATTCCTATAAAAAAGGGGAAAAAACTGTTTAAATCTGTTATTGCTGTATTTGAACGACTGCATTATGCAGGTAGCAAAAGCCACAGTTCAAGTGTCAAAGAGACCTACAGCTTTTGGAGCTCTATTAGGGAAACCAACTTCTGGAAGAAGACAAAACCTTTTTTCAGGGTTTTCAAGCGGGCAGGTATGATTTGTTGCTTATTTCTCCATGCTTTTATCAGGGCCTTATAGTTGAGCAGTGAAGACACTGAAACCATGTTTCAACACATCGCTGTGAATTAATCTACAAGTTTCTTTTGTGACACTTACTGAAGTTTTTTTTATAGTGTACCCTTGTTAGCATTGGGCAAAGATGGACTACTAATCTTGGTGTTGAACCATTAATCTGATATAAATTGTGTTCAAAAAATATTTTCTGCATGTAAATTCTATTGAAGTAGCCAGAGTCATGCTGGATATGCTTAATGCTTTTAATCCTTCAATAAGCACATAATGGGACCTGAAATCCTTAACTTCACTAATATGTCATATATTATCTTTATTAATATGCATATCTTGATATGTTTTTGTCCACTTTTGGAACAAAAAGTCACTAGTTCTTCCCATTTTCCTTTGGAAAAGCCTAGAAACCAGAGCAACCCTGACTAACCTCAGATCTGTTAAAATTGCAGAATATGGTGGACAAGATAAAATCTTCAGTGGCACTTCCTTTCCATAATTTCTGTGGCGGTGCAAAATCTCCGGCCACTAGCATTCCATTGGAAGAATCAGTGCGTCCTGAACCAGAAAGCATCCAGTATAGTGATCCAGCTTGTCAGACGGAAGATGTTATACAGTTGGGCACTGAAACAGATGGTCCCCAACCCCCAGAAAATCACAATAAAGATGGACAAGGCCACCTTGTACCTGATGACATGGAGATGTCTAGGTCCCCTCCTGAGCATTCTTCTGCTGGTGCCAAGCAACGCTTCCAGTCACTCATCGAAAGTAGAAACCAACAACAGAACCACAAGCCACACCAAGAACCAGAATTTAACCACCAGCTGAAGCCTTTTGATTACGCTGAAGCCAGAAAGAACATAACATTTGGAGAGCGTAAAGCCGAGAGAATCAAAGACAATGCAGTGGCCAGGGCAATAAACAAGGATTCTGGAGATAAAGGTAGAACCTCAAACCAATTCGGTGCTGGAGAGAACGAGGGGAATCGCCAGAATCCTCGGGGGCGACAGGCATTCCCGCCTTCTGGCAACAGAAGTGCTACATACCATTAGTTGTTAAGATGTATAACCAGAGACATTGTGTTCTTGTAAGAGGTATTATGTTCATCTTAGAGGGGAAGTGTATTGTCTCTGGTTTTCATCGTTAGATACTTAGATCATGGCAATCTTTTGGGGGACAATGTAGCGGCTTTCTTAGTGATCTATCTTGAGAGAAGTAGGAAAGCCCTTCTGGCTGGTGGTGCTGGGTTTTAACTGAACATGATTCAGAACATTGAGGATACTTATACCAGATATTGAATCATTTCAGTAAAGCACGCATATAAAATATGCTTGCTTAGAATGTGGAAATTTAAGATGATTTCATTAGTAAATACTGCTATCATAATTTCCCTCAAAAAAAAAATACTGCAATCATAATTCTAGATTTCTAGTGTAGTTCGTATAAATATGTGCCTTAGAGCAGGTACGATAGCGCTATTAAGAAAGGCTCCAAAACTTATTAATCAGCCTAATACAAAATTAGGGAAAGAAAATCGCTAGGAGAGAAACAAGCGGGCGCTTGTATTAGCGCCGGCTTGCACAGCGCCCCACGCCGTATCCATCATGGGAGATGAGAAAAAAATTGTTATGTGGGCCCCATATGAAAAAATTTGATATATTTAATGTATGTATGCTTTAACCAACACAGCTTATAACTAACTTGTAGTTAACTTGTTGTATGAGTTGGCTCCTTAAGTTAGCTCTACCTTGACATGATAAAATTTTAGAGCTTGCTGCTAGCTGCACTATTGACCTTGCTCTTATATTTGCTTTTGCATATACTCCGCTGGTCACTAATACATGTCATATCGATCCTTTTACTTTTAGACATATTCTTCGGAAACTACAATTTAGATGACTAAATCTAAAGGCTGCGTTCTTTGCTGGAGTTCCCAACTCCTCACACTCGTTTTCTGCGTGCACACTTTTCAAACTACTAAACGGTGTGTTTTTTACAAAAAGTTTCTATACGAAAGTTGCTTAAAAAAATCATATTGATCTATTTTTTTTAAAAAAATTAGCTAATACTTAATTAATCCCGAGTTAATGCGAACATCGTTTTGCATGCCAGGCCCCTCCCGAACACAGTTTAATTCTTTTCAGTACTACCTCTGTTTTTAATAAATGATATCATTGATTTTTCATCGCACGTTTGATCATTCGTCTTATTTATAACTTACATAATTATATAATTATAATCTATTTTGTTGTGAATTGTTTTACCAAATATTTTAAACATGATTTATATATTATATATTTGTATGAAATTTTTTAAGGAGATGAATGGTCATTCATTTATTCAAAAATCAACGGCGTCATCTATTAAAAATATATTCTACAACTCATATGGTTCAATATATTATGAAAAAGGAAAAAAATACTATTTTTTTCTTATAGAACTCCTACAAACACTGATTTTCTATACTAACTTTTACCGCTCTGCTTATCGATTTATTCTTAAAAAATACTAGACAATTATTTTTTTATGATTAAAAGTATTTTAAGAATGATATACTTGTGCGTATTCGTATAATTTTTTAATAAGATAAATTAACCACATCAAACATTAAAAACATTAGAAGTATAACTCAATGCGATTTTATGTAACTCTCATATAATTAAATCGAAGGATTGAGATTATTCTTTGCAAGATTTCTGTAAAAAAAAACTTTTGCTAGAGAAGGCTTTCGAAGAAAAGATTATGTGCACCCGTCAAAATATTTTTTTTATAAAAAAACAGTGATGATTTGCCTCAGATTAAATTGGGAGCTGTAGAAATTAATGAACTAGAAAATGCTTTCGAAAAAAAGATTATATGCACCGTCAAAATATTTTTTATATAAAAAATAGCGCTTTTGATGATTTGCTTCACATTAAATCGGGAGCAGTAGAAATTAATGGAATTTTACCACTACTATCTCGCTAAACCGTAGAAGTGTTTCCCAACACCGACACATAAAAGTCAACGCCCGACTTTTCCGGCTAGTTGTTGTTTTAATTATCGAGAAAAGTCAACTGCCTACCAAAACAACGAGTTCTTGATCTCTCCTCCCTCGGTCCCCTCCCCTCAGCCACTCGTCGTCCCTCGGCCATGGCGAGGCGCCTCTCGTGGCAGGATTTGCAGGCGTCGGGCTCGGCCATCGCGACCCGCCTCTCGCTGCAGGACTTGCAGTGCCTGGTGCGGAGGAAGCCGGCGTGCTCCGCCGCCGACCGCGCCGAGTCCTCGGCGGCGGGGGCGCCGGCCGGTGGGGGCAAAGGGCGGCACCTCGCCAAGGCGCTGTCCGTTCCTGACCTCATCGCCATCGGTATCCCGCGTCGCCTTGTTCTAATCTCCGCCTCTTCGTTTTCATCCTGCGTAGAACACCCTAGAAGAAATGAGGCGTGTGTTTCTTTTAATTAGTTGTAGCAGCAGTTCATCTTTGGAGTATTGTTACTACTAGCCCGTGCTTTGCTACGGATTAAAACAATTTAATAGTGAGGTTTTTGGGACAATTTTGTACCTGGAGATGTTCTATTGTTCAGGTGAAATATGATAGAATCATATATGTAGATGGATTATTTTATAGCATAAAAGTATATGGGGTAGTTAGTAGAAAACATGATGAATTAGATGGTAAATAAAAAAAATATTATACTTGGTGTTTAAGAAGAGTATAGATTATTAGGAGTTGGTCTTGGAGGAACTCTGAATCTGTTTGGTTGGGTTCTGGATTGCTTCAAGATAATACAATGCGTAATGCATTCTTAGAATCTACTAGTATCTCTCCTCCTTCAGTTTGTGCCTAGTGCCTAATGGCATGCTGCGTTGGTGTCAACTGGCAATTGGCAAATCATATGAATGTGAGAATGTCTACTCAGATAGATAGTAAGATCACTAGTTTGATCGGAGTATTGACTTCTCGCTGTCCGATTACTTATATAGCAATGAAACACAAGATTACCAAGATATCTCAGATGTGTACCATCTGGTAGTTCTAATTGTCATGGAGGAGCTCTGACATAGGTTCTTGGTTTCAGAGTTTCAGGCTTTCAATCACATTAGCCATAGAAGTTATTTTTGTTCTTGCATTGACTTGTACTTTTAGGAACTTATGATATGTCATGTCTCACTGAGTTATTGCGATGTTCGACAGGTGTTGGCTCAACGATTGGTGCCGGCATCTATGTCCTGGTAGGAACTGTGGCTCGTGAGCATGCAGGACCAGCCTTGACCCTTTCCTTTCTGATAGCTGGCATAGCAGCTGCTCTTTCAGCATTGTGCTATGCAGAGCTCTCTTGCCGTTTTCCATTGGCGGGAAGTGCCTATCACTACTCATACATTTGCATTGGAGAAAGGTAGAATACAACTGTACTACTACTGCCCCCTCATTCTCTTATACTTAGCCTTTGTCCTATATATTTTCACTTAAATTTTCTCTTCTACTTCTTGTTGACAAATTATGATCAGTGTCGCTTGGTTGATTGGTTGGGCTCTGATTCTGGAGTACACAATTGGTGGGTCATCAGTGGCTCGTGGCATTTCTCCGAACTTGGTAATACTCCCTATAAAGCTCTCTTCAGATGTATGAATAGATAAGTACTTACTGTTTTTCTATTTTTTTTCAGGCTCTATTTTTTGGTGGCCATGAGAAGCTTCCCTTTTTCCTAACACAAATACATGTTAAATGGTTTGAAACCCCGCTTGATCCTTGTGCTGCTATTCTTGTATTGATAGTTACTGCATTACTTTGCCTGGGAATTAAGGAGGTAAATTGTGCTGTTCGATATCTATGCATAGCTTGAAGTCCATGAATTACCTACTACTTACAATTCTGTAGTACTGAAGTATGAACCATGCCCTCTCAGAGTTCATTTGTGGAAGGCATCATCACCATTGCAAATGTTATAGTTATGCTGTTCGTCATTTGTGCTGGTGGATACTTAGCATTCCAGAATGGCTGGAGTGGCTATAATGATGAACAAGGGTAAAGCTAAGACTTGTGCTTCACATTTTCAATACAGAATTCCATATGCATATAGCTCTGATATTTGCTTGGTTGGTATGTAGTTACTTCCCTAAAGGTGTGGCTGGTGTTCTATCTGGATCAGCAACCCTCTTCTTTGCCTATATTGGCTTTGATGCAGTTGCTAGCACAGCTGAAGAGGTTGGCTTTTATTCTGCTATTTATTAATTAATTTGTTTTGAGCAAATTTCACAAAACTGCAAAATTTGTGGTAAAACCATCACAAGAACCATACTTCCTTTTGCATAATGTTTCACTAAACTACGTCTGGGTCCACTTGGTGGTCTCACAAGCTTACTTATTTCATTTACTAAAACGGATAAGCTTGTGAGACTATCCAGTGGATCCGACCTGTCAATACAATAGCCATGCAAGTCTATTTTCGTGAAATGTATGTAAAAGAACTGCTCTGCTAGAATGGTCGCTTGAATACGTACATGTGTTTTATTTTGTTTACCAAAGATATTGCGATTTTATGAAAATTACTCAATTAGTTATGTTCCTATTTGGTGTTAACTCTATCCAGAGTCTGGTACTTCAGGGAAGGCCATTATAAATCTGCAGTTACACAATTATCTTTATTTGTCAAGGTACTTTTCAGGTGAAGAATCCCCAACGTGATCTTCCATGGGGAATGTGTCTGACCTTGTCCTTGTGCTGCTTCCTCTACATGATGGTTTCTATTGTTATTGTTGGCTTGGTGCCATATTATGCATTGGATCCTAACACTCCTATTTCATCTGCTTTTGCTAAATATGGAATGCAATGGGCAGTGTAAGTACTAGATATATATATATTTAAATCGAATTGCTTGACTATTAAGGAGATTATCATCTCATGCTGTATATATGTTAGTGTTAAGCATCCATGTAATTATCTCTGTTATTATGTAGGTACATTATTTCCACTGGGGCTGTTTTTGCTCTTATAGCATCCTTGATAGGTGCTATTCTCCCTCAGGTATGTGTCTACGTGAATTGAGAAACTAAAGCATCTGTATATCTCCTTCCCAGTTGAATTCCTTTCTCATCCTACAGGATACATAACTGATAGCTTGACTAGAAAATGTAATAAGTTAAGCTTCTTAACGTTAGCTTATTTTTTAAAAAACCATCTCATGTTTATATATGATAGATGATCATCCAAATTACACCAGGAAAAAAACTGACTAATTACTTCCAATGCCTTTTGGCTAGCCAAGAATTGTGATGGCTATGGCAAGAGATGGATTGCTTCCACCACTCTTTTCAGCTGTTGATCCAACGACCCAAGTCCCAACCTTGAGCACAATATTGTCAGGGATATGTGCTGCTATCCTGGCTCTTTTCATGGACGTCTCAGAATTGGCAGGGATGGTAATATGTTACTTGCCATGTAATACGGTAGCTTTGCTGAGTGGAGAGCTACTCCAGGTAGTAATAATTTCTTGATTGTTTGTTCAGGTAAGCGTGGGCACACTATTGGCATTTACTATGGTTGCCATTTCTGTTTTAATAGTGCGATATGCTCCTCCAAATGAGATAGCAACGAAAGTGGCTCTTCCAGGTTCATCTGAATCACTAACTTCAGACTCTGGGTATTCAGAACCAGATGAGGAAAATTCGGAGGATCTTTTGGGCAACGGTAATGAAAATACTAGTGATTTGTATACCTTGAGTTGATTTTACTTAACACTAGTGGCAAGATAAAAATCATTATTGACAAATGAATTACTCCCTCTGTATTTTAATGTATGACGCTGTTGACTTTTTGACCAACGCTTGACCATTTGTTTTATTTAAAAAATTTATATAATTATCATTTATTTTAGTGTGACTTGATTTATCATCAAATGTTCTTTAAGTATGACATAAATACTTTTATATTTGCATAAAAATTTTAAATAAGATGAATGGTTTTAGGGAATACGCGAGACGCACATTTTTGTATTAAGAGGAATAAATGTATGTACAGAGCGGGCCGGAAAAATTAAAAGTGAAGGGGACAGGGTACAGGAGGGGGAAAGAAAAAAAAAGCCTAATCTCCCGAAGGATTTGGCGACCCATGTACAAACGAATGGACTACCATGGCCGGTATGGCTGATCTAGTCATCCGCCAAAGGTCCGCTTCCCTTGTCATAGCCCTAGCTATCTCCATCCAAGGCCTGCTCTTCTGGTTGAAGACCCGATTGTTTCTTTCCTTCCAGATTGTCCACGCTACCAGTGTCGCAATTGTGTTGAACCCTCGGCGATGATCCTTAATCATCCTTTTGCGACTGTCACACAACCAAGTATGGCAGGACTGCTCGTTGAGTGGTAGACATTCGGAATGACCAATAGCGCTAAGAGCAATCCACCAAAGCTGCCGGGACTCTGGGCATGCGACCAAGAGATGATCAATCGTTTCATCGCATTGATCGCAGAGGGGGCAGCGATCCGGGTGCGACAAGCCTCAACTTCGAAGGTGGTCCACCGTCCAGCATCGGTTGAGAGCGACCAGCCAAAGGAAGTAATGACATCGAGGAGGGGCATAAGACTTCCAGATTGGCTTGTGTTGGAAGTGAGTTCTTCCAAAGAAGAGAACACGATAAGCCAAGCGGGAGGAGTACTGCCCCGAGTTCTCCCAATGCCAAGAAAGCCTGTCCGGCTCCTCTGACAGCTGCACTGATCGAAGGAGCGCCCAAAATTTGAAGTACTCAAGGATCGCTTGCACCCCCAATGCCGAAGAGATATCGCGAATCCATCTCCTGTCGTGCAGCGCCTCAGCCACCGTGCGCTTGCCCCGCAAGCGGCCTGGGACAGCCGCCCATACTGCCGGCGCCAGTGACCAAATTGAAGTGCCCTGCAGCCAACAATCTTCCCAGAACAAAATAAGATGAATGGTCAAACGTTGGTCAAAAAGTCAATGGCGTCATACATTAAAATACGGAGGAAGTATCTAATTAAACATCAAAAGTACTGCACATGCCTGATTTAGTTCTTATGCTTCCTGTTTGCCTTTACCAGATTGCCTCTACTAACATAAATTAGGTGTTTGATACTTTTTTTTTGAGATAAGGTGTTTGATACTTTGATAAAAAAGATAACTCCTCTTTAGTATTGTTTTGTTTTATGGTTGTAATCCCACTTCTCAATTGCCTTTGCATGATATTAATGTATTATCTGTTTGTCATTAGTTCATCACTTTCAAAATACTTTGTATAACAGCCTCATAGTTACTAACTTTCTGATTTTTTCCCCCTTCTTAATGCGTTCAGTTCAAGACATACCTACTGCCAATGAAGCCAACAAGATAAGGCGACAGAAAGCCATAGCATGCATTATACTAATTTTTCTTGGGGTTGTCACCATTGTTTCTTCAGTTTCTTTCTCCTTTTTTCCGTTGTAAGTGAAAATGAAACCACCCACTGCAAATTTTTTTGACTTGCTCTTGACACCCACTCATTTGATCTGTTTCCTTTCTGTAGATTTTTGCGATCCATTGCAGGTGCCTTTGGTAGTTTGCTTTTGGTTAGTGCTACCATTGCACTCTGGTTCATTGGGCAAGACAAGAGCTCTTTAAGACAAACCGGAGGTACAAAGACTATGGCCATTATACTACTACGAAATTGACAAAATTTATGTAACTTCTGATCTATACAGTTTACAAATAACATCAAATTGTCTCCTTTGTTCCTCAGGTTTTATGTGCCCATTTGTTCCTATACTTCCAGTATGTTGCATTCTCATCAACGTATACCTGCTTATGAACCTTGGGTGAGCAACTTGGGTTCAAGATTAGCTTTTGCTCTGATTTACTTTGCATCTTGAAGCTTGCACCGTCTCCTATTATATTATCTAGTAGATTTGCAAAATCATGAAACCAAAATCACCATTATTCAATTCACAATACACTGTAAACAGATGATCTGGATAGATTAAAATAGAATGAACTATCTAAACCTATACTTGTGAGTTGTGAGATTAGCAACTTCTGAAAACGATCTGGATATTATCATATCTGATATCACACGTACTCACACCCTTTGATTCATCGTTCGCAGGATTCATACGTGGATTCGTGTTTCGATGTGGCTAGCGGTTGGTGCCATCATATACGTCTTCTATGGGAGGAAGTACAGCTCACTGACAGGGGTAGCCTATCAACGGATTTCACCTGCATAGATCACTGTGGGGGTTGTTCATCTGTACATGGCGATTAACTTGTACAGCTTCCGTTGATTTTCCCTTTGACAAATTTCACAGTTCCAATCTTCAATGAACTATCAAAAGTCTTGAAGCTCTCAGAGATCATCTCACAGAAATGGTCTTCATGTGTAGCCCAGCGTGTTTTGAGCAAGAATTCGAGCAAAAGCATAACAACAGTGGCAGCAGCAGAAGCACAGCACATTGTGTAACTGCTTAGAATTTTTTGTGTCTTTCTATAGTCAGTTTTGACAGTTTTACCATCACCTGTAAATAATAAATGTTCTCACAATTGAGTTACTGTATTTCTATTGTATAAAAAAAAAGGAGATAAGATAATTGCAGTATGTCAAGATCTGCATATATTGTATAGCGACTATTTATGTATTTAATCAGACAGCTCAGATTTAGGGAAGAACAAGTGATGGTGGAATATATTTCGGCCCAGAAATTTGAATATTAGACGTGCCACGGATTTTTCCTAGGCCTCAAATAGTTCCAATTAGGATATTGGATGGGCTGATATTTGACCCACGTGGCCCAGTTTACGTGAATATACGGGCCAAATTTAGACTCACCTTTGGGCTGAATTTAGAGCAGGTTGTCACGTGAGTTCGGGAGGCAAGGTTACCTCCTCACACGAAAAACAAAGCAAGCGATAAGAGCGAAATTAATTAAGTTTTAGCTAAAAAACTTGAAAAATAAATTCATATGATTTTTTAAAACAACTTTCATATATAAAATTTTTACAAAAAATACTGTTTAGCAAGTTTGAAAAACGTGTGTACGAAATAAAAGAAAGGTGAGTTGGAAAATAAGAGGAAGAACCCAGCCTTAGTGCTACATATAAAAATATCACATAGTATTAGGTGATGAGATGGAGGAGGAAAGTGAGGAGAGAGGATGAGTCACCCCCTTAGACTGGTTGTCTCCTCGTAGTTGGTTATGTAATAGGCAACCTCTACACAAACTCTAAGAGCAAAGTGAAATAGTGTGAGAGTGAATCAACGAAAAAAATTATTAGGGTTTGTGTGTTGGAGGTAAATTGTTGTACATGTTGCCTCTTAATCAATGAGTAGATGATACGGCTAAATTGGACGTAGTAGTCATCTCTATTATAAAACTTGCTCTTAGCCACATGTCGGGCCGAATAGACACACAAGTTTGAGCCAAATGGCCAAATAGATGCGCATAATTAGGCTGAACCGATGCGCTGACTTAGAAACAACAACCTAGGGGCATGCGAGAAGCATCTACATGCGATGAAATTTACTTTTAAGTGGTATGTAGTTACACTGAAACAACACTCATACGCTAATCTGTTGCTCCGTTTTGCATGTTGGGAGGAAGGGTTCCTAACCTCCCAAAAAGAACATAGCCTTCCGCTCCAGGAGCCTAAGAGTAGCAGAGTGTGGTTGGTTCCTGACCACACTTTGCCACGCCATATTTTTTTTGTTGCCACAGTTTGTTAGCCATATGTTTGGTTCCATACTTTTCTAATAACATGTCCCACACAGTGGCGAATCCAGGATGCAAAATGAGCTGGGGCTGTGAAAAACTCAGTATGATTGAGACGAACAAGAACTATATCAATAAAAATATTTTGTAAATATAACCCAAATACTCAAATGCATGAATGAATAAGAACACACTTCTCTCTATATTTCAACCTGCTGTGGATATATAAAATATCTAAACAAATCTATTTATTAATAAATAGGTACTTCATGGTCTACTCAGAGTGATCTATAAACAAAATATGTCTGTATTTGCCAGTTTGGCCTTGGCTGTAAAGTAGCTTGCCTTGCTGCCGGCCAATTTTTCACTAATTAATGATTAATTATAATTGCTAATCTTATAACACGAATTCTCTGCAAATTAATCGCCAAAGGGATGAGCCACGTGGCAAGTCCCTATTCACAGAACGGTCTCCAAAAAAAAACAGGCGAACATACATGCATCGAGAGAGAGATCAAGAAAAGAAAAAAAAAGAACACTGCGTTGCGCTATGGGAGCGCCTAGCATTCAGCCAGGCCTTGCATACACGCATGGGCCTGACGCCCCATATACCAGTCGCATGAAAAATAATAAAAGAACTGCAGTAGATTGTTTCTCACGTATCAAACTCCCATCAAGAAAATCTCTCTTGGTATACTAGGCGTGTGCATGCTTGGCGAATAGAGAACTATAGAGAATTATAAAAAAGAAAAATAAGTACTCCCAATGATAATTTTTTTAATATTTAAATAAGAATTTTCAGTTTGAGTTTATAAGATTATGATAGTACTTTTCCAATTAACTTTATATATATATATATATATATATACATATATACATATTATTTTCCTGTGTTTGATAGGGAGTTGGGAAAACATTCCCTTCGCATGGAAAACGGAGTGACACATTTTCTTATGATTAATTAAGTATTTGATTTTTTTTTAAAAAAAATAGATTAATATGGTTTTTTAAAGTAACTTTCGTATATAAACTTTTTGCAAAAACATACACCATTTAGCAGTTTGAAAAGCGTGTACGCGGAAAACGAGTGAGGAGAGTTGAGAAAGTTGGGAAAGAACCAAGCCTATAAGCTACGAGAAGTTATTAGTGGCCAAGTTACAGATGTTTGGCCAAATATTTATGGCTGGATGGAGCAATAGAAAACTGAATAAATAAAAAATGAAGGGAAAGAAAAGGGAAAAAATATTAGGATTTCTAACCCATGATAATTTTTTTTTCGTAAATGCAATTACTTCATATTAAATCAAAATCGAGGTAAGTAACTTCATGATAGTAACATCCTATATTTATAGAAAATAAAACAGTAAATAGTGAAATTAAAAGCACCAAAGAAGTAGTAGCAATAATCTTAGTATCAAAAATCTTCAAATACATACAATCTACTACAGGTTTAATTGAAGATAAAGAAAACATAAGCAAAATTACAAGTACATAAGCAAGTACCACCAAGAATTTTCATATAATGTTGAAAATACAGTTAAGACAAATACTATTACCATGTTGATATCTTATATTTCTAAAGAACTGACAGCAATTGCTTTGGTAGAAATCAATATCTTATAGTAATACACATGGTAATATATACACACATGGCTATAAATTTATTAGCGTGCCAACCGGCACGGTAATTTTCTAGTAGCTAACTAGATGCATGGATTGGAGGTGGGGCTGGCCCACCAACCAGCCCCAACAGTGGATCCGCCACTGGTCCCACATGTCAGACTTAACTTTTTCTTATCAACTTTGCATATTTTATGACTGCTAATTTGTTCACCACACTTTTATGTCTGTCACAACTTATCTAACCTTCGTTGTGGCAAAGTGTGGCCGGTAACCAAACACACCCTATATTCTCGGGAAAAAAAAGGTAAAATGAAGTTTGAGACACAATGAATATATGCATATCCAGCGGCATTCCTACGTTCATTCTAGTCCTAAGACCACACGTAAATTATTCGATTCGAGCTATTTTATATCATATTAATTTGTATATTTTAGTTAATAATTAGATAATTATATAGTATGTGTAGAATCCCAGTAGTTTTTTTTTCTAGATTCATCACTGCATATCCTACATATATCAAATATCCTTTTTTCTGAAATTTTTGGGTATTCCCACGAATACACGTAATATCCATTGCGTCCGCTCATGATTGGTAATTTGGTACCACCATCTGTAGATCTCCTCGCATTACTTGTAGATTTCAATTTCCTTCAAAATGCACAAGATTAAGAGAATGTTTTGGCTAAAAAAACAAGTGTGCCATCACACATTTGGAATACAATATTGGCTTAAGCTTCAGAGTTTCATCTCACCTAGCTATGATCATTTTTGCTTTCTCAAAGCTTTAATCAAGAAGTAATGCACAGTTGATACAGGGTAATTTTAGACCGTCAAACAAATAACTTTTGTTTCTAGAAAATAAAAAAAATGGTCCTTTCAAAGTTTATGGACATGGTACAGGCATCATACTAGAAGTTTGTCACCCTGGAATATGGGCTCCCATTTTCTTAACCCTGCCATCATCCATTGGGCAACGTTGGTGTAGGCAACAGCATCGACGCTGCTACGCAAATGATTTTCCTGTACAGGGACCCTTTTACATTGCGTGCGGACGGTAACAGAAAAATTGGCTCATTTTCCCGTGCGGTCCATTTAAGAGGACCGTGCGGTCCTCTTAAGTGAACCACACACAAAAAAAAGAGTTTATTTTCGCAGGCGGACATTCTAACTGAACTGCACAAAAAATGCTATTCACTCCCACACACTTTAAAATTTTCACCTACTCTCTACGCAATTAGTTATTTTTAGCCTATATTTAATATTTTATGCAGGTGTTCAAACGTTCGATATGACAGGGGTAAAATTTTAGAGTGGGATCTAAACAGGCTCTTAATAAAATTTGGTCAGGGTTTTACTTCAATGCCGATCCGAAAAACTTACAAAGGATGTGTTTAGTTCCACCGGCAAAAAAAATTGCCGGGTCACATCAGATATACGGATACACATTTGAAGTATTAAACATAGACTAATAAAAAAACAAATTACATAATCCGCATGTAAACTGCGAGACGAATTTATTAAGCCTAATTAATCCGTCATTAGTAAATGTTTACTGTAGCATCACATTGTCAGATTAGGCATAATTAGGCTTAAAAGATTCTTCTTGTAATTTACACGCAAACAATATAATTAGTTTTTTTGTCAATATTTAATGCTTCGTACATGTGTTCAAACGCTCGATGTGACGGGGTAAAAAAAATTGCCGGTGGATCTAAACACCCCCAAAAAAGTTAATTTTGCAACAACAGAAAGTACCACACTAGAAAAGATTTACATGGTGGCATATTACTTTCAACACATAGTATAGCAGTATAACTCTATAAGGGCTTTTGTAACTGAGCAAATAAATGGTGTTGGAGAACAAATGATGCAATCTTTTCTCTTTCAAAATGCAGACAAACTGGCTCCCGAAATTCAAGCATACAGGTTTAATCCAACAGTAGTATCATGTCATTCCCACAGTAAAAAATGCGCCAACCTCAGCAATAGCCCTATGGAAGAAGAACCAACCAAGGCACAAGCTGAACGTTAATCCTGTCAATTTTTTTACAACCTTACTAATGACCCCCATGTTCTTATTTCTGTGAGATTACACTGTCACTCTACTTTTAACCTCCCTCCAGACAACCAAAACTGCCTCAAATTCTTCCTGTAATTCGATTTCTCCTCTATTATATACATGAACACACACACTGATCATCAGAATTAGACTGTATATAAAAATGCCTCTAGTTTCACCTACACTGCTGCCTCCTGAAATTTCTCGCATTCATCATCTTGTTGAGCATGGCCCTGAGCCTCCTGGACCCTGCACCGGCCTTTATCATGCCCTTCCTCCCGGCCTCCTGCGGGTTGGAGCACAGCCTGACGCCCCCCTCGGAGCACCACCCGCCGTAGGCGAAAGCCCGGCCCGGGGCGGCGCCGTCGCGGCGGAGGATGTCCCGGTCGATCCTGTCCAGGACGGGGTCGTCCTCCCTGAACTTCCTGGCGAAGGGCGCGGCGCTGAGCAGCATCCGGCGGTAGTCCCTGGGGCCGAGGTAGAGCGGGTGCTGCTTGGGCGGGCTGTCCCACCGGATGAAGTGCAGGTCGTGGTTCACCGTGGTGTTCCTGAACCGCCGGGAGTTGCAGGCCAGCGTCTGGAAGTAGAACTCCGGCGAGGAGACGAAGTTGGTGTAGTAGAGCAGCAGCGTCCGCGGCAGGTTGTCGTCGTAGCCGACGGTGAAGTACTCGGCGAACTGCCGCGACATCATCGTCCACGCTGAACCTGCATCTCCCATCTATAGTCAAAATGCTTGTTCGATAGGCAGAGATTCGACCCAATTAAAAAAAAAAACAAGATTCAGAGGGAGAGACGCACCTCTAAAACATTTTTAGAAGATTTTGTGAACGTGTTAAGGATTGAATACAGAACCTCAAGCTTAAAATCATACACCCCTTACCACTGTCCTATCAAATGCATCTCGATTTGACCCAGTTCCATCACTCATAACAAAACCTACTAGTAATTTGTTTTCACAAATTTCTCTATATTGCTAGCTGAAAAATGAAAAATGGTCGGACATGGACGAAGGTGAACACATTGGGCCTCCTTTGAAATAGAGATGCTGCATAAATTAAACTAACTCTTGTAAAAGTTCATAGTTTCCAAAATTTTCTATATCCCTGCCGTTTCTTGGAAGCAAGTGAGTTTTTGGGAATACGGAAGCAAGTGAGTAGTAGTACTCCATCAAGCTTTGTCCCAATAGATCGAAACAAAAGCTGCTTTTGCTTTGCCAATGCAACAGCACAGCACATTGGTTGGCCTGCCTGGATTCGGCAACTCCAGAGCATAAACTAACACTAAACCATTCCTCGATCTCCACTGATTCAGATCTATCAGATTAATTTAACCATCTCCAGTACATGCAGTGATAAATTGATAATGCAGGGGCTTGGCTTAGCACAACTCCACAACCTGTACCTGCTCCATTGACTAGATACGGTTTCAGATAAGATTTTCTTTTTGTATGCCAGATTCCAAGGTGAGTACTGCCCGTGCCTATCAAATGACGCATCTTACTATTACTTCAACAACAAACAAAGCCACAAATCCAACGATCAATCTGTACAACCATACCGTCAATGGCATTGTCTTTGGTGTGACAGATCAACCGGTGGCGCAATGTACGGTCCGTACTCACTCTCCTACCAGAAAAAGAGTTGACGAAAACGCATCCCAAATCGGTCGCTGACACGCATCCATTTTTCTACATATAGTGGCATGTTCTTTCCAGCACGAGAGGTTTTATGGTTTGTACTCTGTACACGATCTTCTCATCCTTCTTAATACAATACAATGATACTATCTTCGTCTCAAAACAATGAATTTGGATAAACTTGTGTTACAATCTCTTATCCAGATTTGTTGTTCATCCTAGATTGTAGCATTTTAGGACGGAGGAAGTATGCAAGTTTTTTTTTCTGTGTCGTCTCGGAAATGTGTGAGGGGTTTTCGTAGCGCAATTGAGGTTGATTTAGTTGAGATGTTTTTGCGCGTACCTGTGAAGAGCTTGAAGGCGGTGGGGAGATTTCGCCGGTTGGTGGTGAGGTTCGCCGGACGGATGAGCTCCGACCGGTCGGCCTCGTACAGCGCCGTGTCGAGGATCACCGGCCGCGCCCTCTTCTTTCTGCAGAGCTAGCATATTTCAATCCCCTCATCAAAATCAAGGCCTTCTTTTAAAATTTGAGAGATTTGAAATCGGGGGTTTGCACTTGATAATTTGCCACTAAGTTATTCCAATTGATGCGAATAATTGAAACCAAGAAGAAGCAATCAAAAACTAATCTTGAAAACTGATGAAACAATTCAAGTTAGTGACGATTGGAGTTCTTACATCTTCCAGCCAAGGTGGCTGGTATGCTGTATGAAGTTGAGATCCCTAGGCAACCTGGAGAACACATCCATCAAATCTGCAATTATCAGCAGATAATTAATTTAGCATTTCCCACAAACACTAAAATGGTACTAGTAGCGATTATTAGCGATGGTAATTACGATTAAGGATTGGCAATTAATTACCGTCCTGGGTGACGAGCGGGTAGTCGGAGGCGCTGAGGTTGACGAACCAGTCCCACCGGCGGCCGAGCCGGAGCAGCATCGCCACCGCGTGCAGCGTCGTGGACAGCATCGTCGGGCCGCGGTAGGTGACGAGGTTGGGGCGCCCCACGATCCACACGTTCCCGGCGCGCGCGTACACGGGCTGCCCGGACACCAGCTCCGCCAGCCGCCGGTGCTCCTCCGCCGGCGCCTCCCGGTCCAGGTGGAGCAGGTAGCAGTTGGCCGGGTGGTACAGCGCCGCCAGCAGCCGCGCCGCCCGCGCCGCGTCGCCCGTCGACGCCGAGATGAGGTACGCGAACGACACCGGGTAGTAACCCGCGCCGCCGCCGCTCCCGGTGGTGGAGTCGTCCCTCGCCGCCGCCAAGAACGGCCAGCTCTTGTACGCCGGGCCGGTGAGGAGGAGCGACGGGAGGGAGAGGATGGAGAGGACGAGGAGCGCGGTGAAGACGCCGGAGACCACCACCTCCCTGCGGCCCACCGGAGACCTCATCTCACCCTCACCACCTCGCACGCACGCATCCACCACCTATGTATATATCGATAGCCGATCTAGCTCCGCCACTCTCGCCAAGTGGACGATGCCACGCCGGTGCAGCTGGTGGGCTCTTCCGGCGAATGGCGGCGGGCAGGATGGTCGCCGGAGCTGGAGGAGAGAGAGAGAGAGAGAGAGAGAGAGAGAGAGAGATGCAGCTTGAGCGTGAGGTTGAGCTAGGTGGGAGTGGGTTGTGATTGGGCTTGAGATAAGTAAAGAGCTGTGGGGGTTGGAGTGAGGTCACTGTCGGCCGGTGGTCGGGCGGCTGACAGGTGGGACCCACGCGCAAAAGTGGGAACCCGGCTGCGTTCTTCCCCTCCCATTTCAACTCGCCGACCACTTTTCCGTGCGCATATATCTCAGACTACTAGTACTCCGTATGTCCTTTTAAATATTTTTATAGAAAATTGCTTGAAAAAATCATATATCCTTCTGTCTCAAAATAAGTACAGTTTTACACTATTTTTATCTTATTTAAATTTTTTTATGATTACTATTTTTATTGCTATTATATGATAAAACATGAATATTACTTTATGTGTGACTAAATATTTTTAATTTTTTCACAAAATTTTCAAATAAGACGGATGGTCAAACGTTGGGCACGGATATCCACGGCTGCACTTATCTTAAAACGGGTTGTATTAATCTATATTTTCAAAAGATTAGTAAACACATAATTAATCATACGTTAATGATTAGTTCCATTTTACACGAGAGATTCCATAATACAGCCTAAAATTTAGAGGAGCAGTTATGTGCATTCTTGAAATTTAGCTGGTCTTGTGCTATTAACTAGCGCTTAGTCTTTTCTTTCCGAAAAGATAAATTTGAAATTATAAATTTGCGATAAGTGTGTTAATGAGCTAGCTTATGGGCCAAGACCAGCTATGCTTTTTAGATAATGAGTTCAAACGAATTCCCTTGAAAGAAACGAGTTCAAATGAATCGAGCTGGCTAGGTGGTATCCAGCCCTATATTGAGCTTCTCAAATAAGACCTACAAACACTGGAGTACTCATCAAATGTTTTTTTCACAATATTGAGCTTCTCAAATAAGACCTACAAACACTCTTAACGTCATGAAAAGTTTGCTAAAAGTTTGTTAGCTTTGACTAAGAATAGGTGAATTCTAACAGCTAGTTTTAAAGCAACTAAAACTAAAATATGTGATACTATTACTAGAATACTTTTAATTATAAATCAACTGATACAATTTTAGACCACATATATAATTTGATTATTTTTAGAGAATGTTAATGATAAAAACTCAGCAACTTACGGTCAAAATGTACGTTCGTCTCAAGAACAATGAGGAAAGAGGTACTCCCTCCGTCCCAAAAAAAAACTTAACCTAGTATTGGATGGGACGTTTTCTAGTACAACGAATCTGGACATGAGTACATCTAGATTCGTTGTACTAGAAACATTACATCCAATACTAGGTTGAGTTTTTTTGGACGGAGGGAGTATATCGTTTTTTGCGCGTACATTTCTCCAAGGGTTAAACGATACTACCTCCGTCTCAGAATATAAGTATTTTTAGTGTTGTACATGGTTATTAAGAAAGTAGATAGAAGTGAATGATGGAGGGTTGTGATTGATTGAGTAGTGTAGGTAGGTGGGAAAAGTGAACGGTGGAGGATTGTGATTGGTTGGGAAGAGAATGTTGGTGGAGAAGTATTATATTTTGGGACAAATCTTGAGGGGTAAAAGTTGTTATATTTTAGGAAGGAGGAAATATGTTTTTTTTAAAAAAATATTTTTAATATAATTAATACTCAATTAATTATAACAGCTTATCTTACTTTACCCGATGTGTCCAAACCGGTAGAGTGTCCAACACTATCTTGAAACTTCGAGATGATGCAGTTTCAGTTTATTTCGTTACAGTACACACTGCCAGAAAAAAGCAGCAGAAGGACGTGTCAATGTAGTCTTGGTCTTCGTAACCTTTGGGTGGATTTGGATCTCTCATCCATCACGGGTGCATAGCAGCATAGGAGTATGCAGCGATTGGATTTCACTTTTTCACATGCTCTCGTCACATGATGATAAGGTGACTGACAGATGCGTGCACTAACTTTGTTCATATTTAAACATTTTTCTATTTCTAGCAGTGCCTGATAATTTAATTATTCAGCGTTGCTGATCACTTGGAGATGTTGGGGGTCGAGTGCGGCCGATGACGTTTCGCACCAGATGCTGTCTGTTTTTGGCCTTTTTTGGGTTGGTGCATTCACCTTCGGAGCAGCGGGCAAAAAATGCGTATTTTTAAAAGCACCTTTTACCCAATGTCCCAAACTATTTTTATAGTACATGATTTGTTTTTTCCTTTTCCAGAATCCTTAGAAATTTTCTCCATTGAAAAGGAAACATTGGGTGGAATTACGAATGGTACAGCCTCTAGTTAAACAAAATTACTTTTGGCTTGTTTAAATCAGCAAGATGATGGTTTGAAAATACGGAGTAAAGCCCACAAGATAGAGGTACTTTCGCTATAAAAAAAAGTTATTTACTCTTTCCATCCAAAAATCTCAAGCCTATATTTCTTAGGTTTTCCTAAAAATCAAAATGCATACAAAGCTTTGAATGAACAAGGGGATGTTAGTTGGCCATGCTGGATTAAATGGATCAGTCACTACCCTCCACCTTATAATAAAAATCAATAATGAAAATAAGGAGATGGGAGGATAAAAGGGGGGAGAAGAGAGGCCATTGAATGCAGATTTATTTTGAATAAAAAATTACTTACTGTATATGTACTCCCTCCGTTTCACAATGTAAGTCATTCTAGTTTTTCCCATATTCATATTGATATTAATGAATCTAGATACATATATATTTATCTAGATTCATTAACAATAATATGAATGTGGGAAATGCTAGAATGACTTACATTGTGAAACGGAAGAAGTAGTTTCTCTATATAGCATCTATATGACATGATTTTTTTTATTTTTTTAGAAGGGTATATTTTATGTAGTCTCTACATCGAACCGTTTTTTTTATTTTTAGAGTAAAATGCACATGCAGTCCTTAAACGTGTAGGGTGTGTCATTTAGGTCTCTAAACTCTCAAAATACATATCAAAGTCCAAGAACTTGTCAAAATGTGTAATGTTCCAAAGCGCCACAGTCCTTCCAGGGTCCTACGTGGTGCTGACGTGGTATGCCACACGGATGTGATGTGGCATTATCTTGAATGAAAAGTGAGACCCACTTACTTTGTTTCTTCTCCTTCTCTTTTTTTTCTTTTCTTTACCTTTCTATGTGACCCAAGCACCCCGTGCGGCGGACCTACAGTTACAGTGAGAGGAAGAAGAAGAAAAAGAACAAGCAAAAGAAATGGAAAGAAGAAAAAAAAAGGAAAAGTAAGTTTTTTAAGTGGGTCTTATTTGTCAGTCAAGATTATGTCACGTCACGCCCGTGTGGCATATCATATCAGCGCCGCGCCATGTATGATGCTAGAGGGGTTGTGGCGATTTGGGATGTAGATAACACACTTTAACAAGTTTGATGATTTGGATATGTGTTTTGAGAGTTTGGGGATCTAGATGATACATCTCTATAAGTTTAAGGACCGTCTATGCACTTTACTCTTATTTTTATATGACATGATAAATGTGGAAAATAATTGATGGTTTTTAGGTTGGGATTGCCCTAAATGAATCGGAGGAGTATGAGTTTCCTTGGTCATGCTTGAGATTTTTCAATGGAGGAGTATTTCATAGAATTAATGACAATATAACGCATGTAAGGATGAGTTCAGATGTGATGTTCGGATAGGACTTTTGATGGCACGCGAGCATTAGCGTATAAATAATTAAGTATTAATTACTTAAAAATTTGAAAATGGTTTGTTTGATTTTTTTAAGAAACTTCTACATATAAAACTTTTACACAAAACACAATGTTTAGCAGTTTAGAAAGCGTGTTAACAGGAATGAGGAAATTTCTAAACCCAAACTCCCTTCCGAACTCACACCTAAGCCTTTGTTTTGGAGAAGTTGGGAACTTCTCGTCCCTGCATGTGAAACGAGATAGCTCATTAGTGCATGATTAAAGCCCTCTTTGTTTAGGCTTAGGCTTATTGGCCTAGACTTTTAAGTCAGCTTATTGGCTTATATGATTTATAAGCCGGTGGATTTAATGTCCTAAGTTTAGTAGTTGAGTCATACATCTACCTCACATAAGCCAAAAAAGCTTCTCCAACCTAGCTTTTGGCTTAATAGTGTTAGAGTGGCTTATGGCTTCAAAAAAGCCAAACGGAAAAGCTGCTTGTTTGTTTAGGCTTAGACTTTTCGACTTATAAGTTGGCTTATAAGCCTAAACAAAGAGGGCCTAAGTATGGCTATAAATTTTGAAAAATAGATTAATATGATTTTTTTAAAAAAATAACTTCCTATAGATAACTTTTTTAAAGAACGCACTATTTTAACAATTCAAGAATTGTGCATGTGAAAAATGAGAAAGTAGAAGATATAACACAACCTAAGTACATATTGTTGATGTTCAGGGTAGATTTGTCGCGGTTTGACTTTTTTTTTTGACCGGAAGGGATGACGGATTCAAGGGAGTGAAATTTTGGGTCAATTTTGAGTTACCATGGATGTTACAATCAGCATTGCTACAGTAGTATCTTGCAAGCAATTAGCCCACCGACAATTTTTTTTTCTTGGAAGAGACAATTCCAGAACTATAACGTCCATTTTTGTTTCCTTAAACCCACGCCGACAGTGTTTTCTGAACAATGAAACATGGATTCCTTCAGATTACAGATCTACATTCCAGGCTAATTCCCACCATGAGGTGCCTTGCACGTATGCACTTAAGTAGGACCACCTGATGATCTAGGTGTTCTTTTCCTTGGCTTAAACTCGAGACAATAATTCAGAGAGATAAAAGGGATGCTGGTACAGCTAACTACTGATAATAATTTGATATGGACAGGTGACTGAACATGAACGGTGGTTCACCAAAATTTTGGGAGCACGATTTATCCGATCGCGAGATGAACGTGGAAAATAAAAACCTGAAACAAAATCAAGAGATCGACGAAGCCGACGCGTCGATGGAGAAGTAGCTAACGGTGGGCCTGGTATGTCTGAACATTGTGGATTCCGGAGGGGACAAAATTAATTGAATCATCATAACATTGCAATGCTTATTCAGAACATGTTTTTCAGATGTTGCAAAAATGTATGATGTTGGTTGGTTGGGAATTGATGCATGTGAGGTGGCTATTTAGTCGCTTGCTGACACACATGCTCTCTCTCTTTTATTCTCATTGTTTTGTCAATGTTTATGGTATTATTGTCACTGATAGTTGTTATCGAACTCGATATTATTCCAAAGTCTATATCTTTTCTTGAAAGCTCGTGTACTAATAATACTATATCTTTTCTCTTCTGTATACTGTCCTGTAACATTTCCCTTAAAATTTTCGTTGCAATGCGCGGAGGGGCCAACACAAAATGGTGGCCAACCGGGCCCCTTATGAAAAGAATAAAAAAAATAAAAAAAGTTCATACCGGTCCAAGTGCCTGAGAAATGTTGATGCAAAGAAAGCACAAGTAAATGGCCAGGAGCCCAAACCCCAGCGTCCTGTCCACCCTCATCCCTCTCCTGGACATCACCACCACGGCCCAGCAAATCCCCGCGGCGGCGAAGCCCAGCGTCTGGAATGGGCCGGCCTCCGCCGGCATTGCCACGGGCCGCGGATGCGAGGCCCACGACGACAGCAACATCGACACGCCGAGGCCCACGAGCACGTCGAACACCGGCCCGCCGTAGCACCCGGCCACGGCCACCTGCGCGCCCCCGCCGCCGCCGCCGCGCGACGCCACGGCGAGGTTGGCGACGAGGTCGCCCAGGGAGTTCCCCCACGCGAGCACGGTGAGCCCCAGCGCCGCCGAGTCGACGCCCATGACGTGCGCCGCGGAGACCAGCAGCGCGAGGAGCTCGGTCGCCACGGCGTACGCCCAGGCCACGCTCATGACGAACCCGGCGGCGAGCCAGGCGGCGAGGTGGTCGGCTGGGGGCGCGTCCGGGGAGGTGGTGAAGAAGGCGACGGCGCCGAGGGACGCGCCGGCGAGGACGCCGAGGAGGACAGCGAGGGGCGAGGTGATGCCGGTGGCGCGGCTGCAGAGGTGGGAGAGGAGGACGGGCGCCATGGTGACCGCGGTCACCGCCGCCGGCTTGCTCCACCGCTCCTTGCTCGCGTCCGGGATGGTCAGCCGCCGTGGAAGCCATAGTGGGAGCTCCAGCGCGCGCAACACCGACCAGAACGCGCTCCTGATCTTCTTCTTGGAGCCGCCGCCGCCGCCGCCTCCGTCGCCGTCGCCGTCGCCGGGGTAGTAGCTGAGTAGCGGTGCAGTGTCGGGGAGGAGTGGTTCTTGGTCGCCGTAGAACTTCGTCTCTGCGACGTTGCAGAGCTCGGAGAAGGCGTCCGCCGTGTGGTCCGCCTCCGCGCCGTGGCCTTTGCTCGGGGCGCGGCCGTGGGTGAAGGCGACGGCGACGACGTAGACGACGTAGAGGGAGGTGAAGGCGAGGGCGCCCCAGATTGTCACCTCGCCGGCGGCGAGGACGACGGCCACGGCGGCGAGGGCGGCGAGGAGGAAAGACGCGTCGCGGTAGAAGTCCACCCTGTCCACGGCGACCCCGCGCGCGCCGAGGCGGACGCCGATGACGCCGAGCACCGCGGAGGACACGAGCATCGCGCTCCCCAGCACGCCGTTGAGCCCCACGGCGGTGGTCTCCCCCTCTCCCCCGCCGGAGGCGAACGACGCGATGGTGGAGAGCGCGTCGGGCGCGCCGTTCCCGAGCGACAGGAGCGTCACGCCGGCGATCGCCGGGGAGAGGCGGAGCAGCCGCGAGAGGCCCTCGAGGCTGGAGCAGAAGTACACCGCCGCCGTGTCGCCGAGCAGGTAGAACAGCACGGCGAGCCACGCCGCCATCACGGCGTAGCCAAGAACCCGCCGCTCCTCGCCGAACACGCAGTCGAACAGGTACAGGTAGTCGACGTAGCCACGCGGGAATCGCCGGCGATCAAGGCCATCCTCCTCGCCGACGTGCTCGCACCTCTCCCCGTAGCTCTCAACCCGGAACACGCCGCCGCCGCCGCTGCCGCCGCCATCGCGACGCCCCCGGATCCCGACCTCCTTCGACGACGAAACCACCTCCGGCGGCGAGCCGCCGCGTGGCGAGATGAAGAAGAAGAAGGCGAGCAGGAGCAAGAAGGCCACGTTGACGCTGGCACCGATCAGCACCCTCGCCGCCGGCGGCGCCGCCGCCGCCGACGTGGCAGAAGGCTTTGCCATGCATAATGGTGGGCGCAGCGCGAGTGGCGTGCTGAAGATCACAGACCGTAGCCGACAAAACGGATCACCGCTATTACTGAAAATCCGTCAGTAGTAGCAAACGTCACTCCAAGCCCCCAACAAACATTCACCGAATTTTGGCCGAACCATTTTCAAATGAAATGACTACGGAACTCCACTTGAAATCTCCGTGTTTCAAATTACTATACATAATCAGGATGTCAAATGGTGTGTACTACTCCATGAAGATAACTTTTACTGTTCTCTCTACTGATATATACTATATGAAATGAAAGAAAATGATAGAACGGGGATAAGTGAAGAGTTGGGTGAAGGAAAAATGAAGATTGGGTTGGATGGTTGCAGGACGACAAAGGCAAAATTCATGATAGGACGTGAGCCTGCACCTTTGGATGTCCCTTGCAGATTGGTTCGTGACGTCGACGCATCACGCTTGGATCATATGGGGGTTACAGCTCAAGCGATTAAGGGGGGCACAGCATCAACTTGGGAAGTGTGATGTCAACATATTTTGGGTGTATTTTGGTTGGAACTAGCACAATTTCGAACAAATCACAAAACAGTAGATAGCAAACTATAAGCTATTTATAAACATCTCTACTATTATAAAAATTGAAGATGTTTTTACTGATTGTTTGGTGCGTCGTCCAATTCGAGTATGAATACGGTAGTCTAAGTTCAAATGTACATGTCTGTTTCGAATTTTTTGCTTGCATGTATAGAAGAAGAGAACAGGTCATCAGATCGATTCGTGCTAGAATACTATGCATACGTAAATCTCTCTTTATTAGTTTAGAAAGAAGCGCAGCTAGCACCGGCTGCATGCTCTTCCTGATCCGATTATGATATGGATGAGATGATATGGCTTGGCTATTTTTCAAAGGTTGCTGCATAAACAACCATGTAGGCATATCTTCATATTATTTCTATTATTTATGTATTTAGAATATTCCTATTATGTTTTTTTTGTGAGATTTTCATAATCAGGATGAAGCGATCGCAATGCAATAACCAGCCACGTGAGACAATTTCACAATTCACAATGCTCAAATACTGCATAAAAAATATGTCACGATTTAGTTTTTCCGTTGTAACACACGTACACTTTTTCTAGTATATTAAAAAGATAAAATTAGTTCCCTGGACTAAAATTAGTTCTTGGACTAAACTTTTTAGTCCCTACTATTTGGATCTAGGAACTAAAAAGGACTAAAGGCACGTGGACCGAGGGGGAGAGAAGAGAGAGGCTGCCACTTTAGGGTGTGTTTGCAAGAGCAAGTTTTCAACACTCCTCTCTCGTTTTCCGCGTGCATGCTTTTCAAACTGCTAAATGATGCGTTTTTTGCAAAAAGTTTCTATACAAAAGTTGTTAAAAAAATTTATATTGATCCATTTTTGAAAAAAAAATTAGCTAATACTTAATTAATCACGTGTTAATGGATCGCTCCGTTTTCTGTGTATGGGAGATGGGTTCCTAACACCCACCTCCAAACACGCCTAGTCCCTATGGAAAGACTAATGGATTTTAGTTCCAATATACACTTTTAGTCACTTTTAGTCACTCTTATTTGGATTCCTAGGGACTAAAAGGGAAGAGAGTAATGGATTACTCCCCACGAACTAAACAGGGCCTATACTTGCTTAAAAAAACGTAGAGCAGCACGAAGCGGTTTCCTTTTGGTTTCACAATTATTGGTCTGGTCCAATTTACACCATGGATATTTGGTTGGTGTAAATTGCATTTAAAGCGGTCTCGTGGCTGCCTCCGCGTCATTCTTTTTTCCCCCTTTTTTTTACACAATATTCACACCACTTGGGCCGAGTTCAGTTTCAAACTTTTTCTTTAAACTTTCAACTTTTCCATCACATCAAAACTTTTCTACACACATAAACTTCCAACTTTTCCGTCACATCGTTTCAATTTCAACCAAACTTTCAATTTTGGCGTGAACTAAACACACCTTTGGAGTAAGGACAGACAATATTCTTTCAGCAGTTATCACGCATAGGTGCTAATAAATCACCTAAAAGGCTAAAAGCATCCCCAAACCTTGCTCGAGGTGTGATTTGCAGGGTTTTGGTAGCTACATGATGTTTTCTAGACTTCTAGTAGAAGATGTTAACAGTTTATGGTGTAAGTTGAACCTGTGCAAGATTTTAGGGGATCCGATCATGTAAACTAGAGATTTTCCTAAGTTAAAAGGAAGGGTAATTTTAACATTCTTAGCGTAAAATTTATATACTTCAAGATATCTTCTCAATTCAAACAACTAATTTTTTTAATACTCCTTTCATTTTATATTATAAGTCGTTTGACTTTTTTTTCTTTAAACTAGGAAGGTAGCCTGCGCAGTTGCGCGGGCATCTTATTTAAAATATCATTTTTTTGTTGTTATTATGATTTTTTACATTATGACTTGGTCTCTTGGTGAAAGAATTTATGAATTTATGGTTGAAAAAAAATAGGTACATGAAAAAATAGTTATCTCCTAGGTCGACCTGCCTGCCCTGCTCTCTTTATCTCCTTCCTTTCCAGTGGCTATGTCCTATCTACTCCCTCCGTCTCAAATATAATAACCTAAGATTCCTGTTCAGTAACTATGTCCTATCTACTTCCTCCGTCTCAAATATAATAATCTACAATTGAATGAGATGTTTTCTATTACAATGTATCATGACAGGGAGTCTATCCAGATGCGTTGTACTATGAAACATCATATTCAATCCTAGATTCTTATATTTTGGGACGGAATGAGAAAGTATTTCCCTTAATTAATGGATTGGGTGTCAGCCATTGGGCTGGTGCCGCAGACCTCTTATTGCAAGGGTGACTCGTCCAAATTGCCGCAGGCCTCTTATTGCAGAGGACAGGAGGACGGAGCCACCAAAATTGTGTGTTGCAGACGGATTGAAAGGTGTTGCTGGTGAGGTGTACATATATGTATGCAAGCCGGTGTATATATATGTAGTCTTGCCTCATGAAACTAAGCAAGCTTTGCTTTGAGATAGATTTGAAATATTGCCTTGTGTACACAATTATGGAACTAATCTTCGTTTATTCATGACAAATCCATGCGCTGCACGTGCCTAATCTTGCCATATGTGATTAGATTTTGCTTTGAAATTAATTTCGAATCTCTTGCCTCCCATACACAGTTATATATGGAACTAATCTTCGTGAACTATCTTCGTTAGTTCACGTTATGGAAATAACCCATGCACTGCACGTGCGGGCCCTAGGGGGTTCTCAACTCTCTTGTTGTGCCACGTGACGACTTAAAAGCGTTTTGAGAGTCACGTGGCAGCTTGAGAGCGTTTGTAAGAAGTTTAATGGACTTTCAGTATATAATAGATAGATATGACTAAGTTTATAAAAAAATTTAGTAACATTTACAACACCAAATTAGTTTAATTAACTTTTAGTATATTTTAATAATGTGTTTATTTTGTGTTAGAAATGCTACTATATTTTTCTATAAATTTAATCAAACTTTTTTAAAAAATGACTAGGAAAATGACTAAACGACTGCTCGAAACTGAGGGAGTATGAAGGAAGCTTTTATTGATTAGACGACGATCACATCATGATGATACACTTTGTTTAAGAGTTAAGACCAATCCCTGTCTCTGCATAACTAGATCTTGCATGAGTAAGCCACTCAGCCATCACAAAACCGTGATGAATGTACAGTTTAACCATGCTGGAGCTGGACAGACCAACAAAAAACATGAAGTACTTGTGACCGGGACCAGTGGTAGCTGCGAGCAGTTATAAAAGGCCAATGCAAGTTTTTCAGATCTAATGCTGTTCACTCGAGTCTCTGTACCTAATGGCATGATATCTACAGCTCGAATAGGGAGAATTGCATGGGATAGACAAGGCACAGGCATTACCACCATCTTCACTCACATGGGCACAGCCAGCGACCACTTTCCAGAACTGCAGTGCAGGGATAGTACTATGCTACTAGCAGGCAACATCTTAAAGCTGCCTGAGAATGCAGCCTAATTCAGTACACTATCAAAACCATCAATTTTATCACTGTTTCCAATCCATGGCAAAGCACAAAAAAATATGCCACAAGTGCATAGCAGATAGTGAGTAATGAAATGTTTTTAGGTACTGTATAACCTAGTGGGAACATGAAACTGTCTCAAAATGTGTTTTGATAATTGAAAGTGACTACCGATGGACCTATATGTGCATGGAAGAAAGGACTAGCTAGTTACATTAACTATGTTCTATGTACCACTTTGTGCTTAAAGCTTAAGAGGCCGGACAGAGGCGAGAGCTATACTTTACCTGATCAGAGGTGAGAGGTCTCCAGCAAAAAACTGTCAAATTTTGCAGTAGCAGAGTTGGTGATGGTCAGTCATGATGTTGTTGTCAAGCGAATTCACATTGCGGGGGCTTCCAGCTGAACACAGTCGCGCGCGCATTCACCACCAGAGCCATTCCGACCGTGAGAGCCTCACGGAGGGGCGCCGGGCCCGCTTGGCCGGTGGTTCAAACACCCTCCCGCGCGCGCGCTGGGCTTTGGCTTCCCCCTCTCGTTCTGATCGCGGCGACAGTGTGCTTGATGATGTGCACGTGGAGGCGGAGGTGGGTTGGTCGTCCGCTGCGTCGAGCCGGCCGCCTGATCCGCTGCCACCGCCGGAGCTCCGGCCGGAGTCGCGGGGCTTCGCCTTACCCTTGCTGGTGGCGCCACCACCACGTCCTGGCACTGGCTGCGGAGGCGCCTCCTTGTCGCTTGGGCTCACCGGTTTTGGTGGCGTCTCGGCGTCGTTTGTGCTCGCTGTCTTCTGCGGCATCTCGTCGTCGCTCTCATACTCATAGTGCTGGTTGAACTCATCTGGCTGGCAGTTGGTGCTGAAACACTCCTCTACGGAGTAGATGGGACAAAGAGAAGGATGTCAGTTCTAAATCGGTGCTATTCAATGTTTTCAGAGGGATTTGATGAAGATAGAAAAAATAGAAATGGTGAATCCAGTGTTTTCAGAGGGATTTGATGGATGCCGTTCTTCATAAGGGTCAATCATCAAATTCAATATTTTCAGGTGGAAAAATATTGTTATATTTGCAGTCTCATAGCACATTCTATTATGCCAAATACGGATCACAATAACTAAATATATATCTAAGAGTTTTGGTAACTTCTAAGAGGACTCATCCAGTAGTTCATTGGTAGGAATATATTATGATGGTGATGCAATATTTTTTTTGGTTAAAAAAAGGAAAAGAGTCTGCAGAACCCCCTAAAGTAGTGTAGTTGATATACTAAAATATTTTCTTAAAAGAACTAACATTCTAAGCTATGAGAAAACAAAAAAGTATACAAAAAGCGACTCACCAACATATGATACTTCAGAAAGCTTAAGGACTGCATCTAAAAGGACCTTTTCTTGTTCCTGGTTCAAGTTTAAATGGCATTGAAGTACATAATGCTTAGAACAAGCGGAGATTGGATGAAATCCAATGCTTACATACTGAGTTATCCAAGTCAAGAGGGTTCTCACCTTGAGTATCGCCTTTGCTGTCTCTAAATCATCTGGGTTTGGCTTTTCTCTAAACAGTTGTTCAACCTGTAAAATGAGAATGTGAATCTAAAGCTCATTATAATACAAAGAGCTCCTTATCTTCTTTCTTAAAGTAGCAAACATTGCAGATCAAACAAGGTCGAATGGTATACATGAAAGAGAGGGAAAAAAACACAAGTAATGGAATAAAGCCACACCTTAACCAAATAGCTTGATACCTTGATATAACTTAAAAATAAACGGCATAAAAGCACAAAGAGAGGGAGAAAATGCTAAACAGGAAGTGGTATAATATTATCAAAGAAAATTTAATTTCTAAGAAACATCACCGGAAAAAAGAATATTTAAAAGAGTTAGTAAGCAGTCAGATATCATAATTTAGGGGGAGTTCACCATCTAGAGCCAAGTCCAATGTTTAATACTCAGGATGATACATGTACCTTGCTCAGGAGGTTGGCAGTTAGGTCAAGCTTCATGATGTCAAAATCATGTTCTATGTTTCCAGCAGTTGACACGATGACAGTCAAGCTCTTAGATCCTGTCACTTCTGGCACTTCAGTTTTCCTTTTCATTGATGCTTTCATGTCTTGATGAATACACAAAGGAACATGACCAGCATTTGCTTGGATGTGCTTTAATTGGATGGGAGATAGAGTGCAGCCAGTCTTCACTTCACAAGGTAATGTCTTAGTATCAAGCGGATCATCTGTGCTACGTTTCTGTCAAAAATTATAATCAACACATAGGGCTAGAATGCTAGATTATTAGAAGCGAACCTTCATCAGTGCCAAGTGATTTATTTAAAGAAAATCTTTAACTGAGTTTTTACCATAAAAACAGGCAGAGAAGTGGCAAAAGCTGTTTACTAAACCACAGAGGTATTAAAAGGGAAGGTTTTTCATAATTTACAGTTCCACATAAGTACATAACCACAATAGTTTGAATGGGCATATTACCAATTGGCAATTGTGGTTACCTTCTGAATACTGTGGATATTTTTTTAATGAAATTAAGCTCATCATGACATCATCTGGAGATAATAATTACTAGCAGGAAAAAGAAGAGCCAAAAAATTCCATAAATCCAGAATACCACTCATATTGTAGTTTAAGATGTTAGCTACTAAGAAAGAACCGATACATACCACCTGCACAGAGGAAACTGCAACTGGCAATTGTTCAGCTGGAGAGGATTTTAAGTATGATAATGTGTACTCATTTCCAGAGTACTTCTTAGCAGGAACTATTGCATGGGGATAAAGACAGGGACCCTTTTTGGTCCTGTGAGAGCTACGTAATATGTCAACACTCCTGTTTCATAAGTGAAAATTGTTCAGAAAACTGAAAATCCAACAGTTAGTTAATTTCAGAGCAATCTTAACTTATGTGAAATAATAAAAAACAAAAACATAATCACCTCACAGATAGCATTGAACGCGGTGATATTTGTGATTCCTGAGACAAACTGATGCAGTTTGTGAATGAGGTGAAGCTTTGTCCATCTTTGACGAGCTTATCAGGAACCATGGCACGTGCATCAAAAGTAGGATCCTTAAGACCAGAGTTATTTGCCAAACTACAATTCCTGCTAAGTGCAAAGAAATACAGACATCTGATTGATCAACATGAATTTTGTTTCCTGGGAGGCAATAAGTAGATATGCTCACCGCAAAGACTTGATATACTCGTTTGAAGTGACATTCATGAGAACTTCTCTAAGCTCCGCATCTGATATTCTAAGTTTTTTCCTCAGTTCAGTGAGAAGCTTGGCCTGTGACTGTAAGGCAAAAAAATAAAAAAAATAAAGATGAAGCAATGCCAGTTACAATAAATCAAAATAATTCACCATAAGAGTATAATGACTATAAATGCGCAAAAGAAAGATAGTATGGAATGAGCAATAATGTGAGCCTATTTCTCCAGCACCAAGAAAATGTGGCATCATACACCTCTCCCAAAACTAAGAACTGAAAGTTCTATAAAATGGAAGCTGCATTGTATAGTGATATATCATACTCTAACTTATAGAAATAAGTGGATGACACATATACGGTATACCCGTGAGAGGAGTTCTGACTGAGCAAAGAAAGCTCTTAACACAGAAGCATATGCTGATCGCTCCAAGCAGTGAATCTGAAATGCAGTATCTTGAGCATCTGTTATCATGGGTACAAGATCTAGAGAATCCTTTGTAACTTCAATATTACAAATGCTTGCTTTGTTCAAACCAACACTGCAACAAGAAATGCAGCACAATATCAGTTGATTTGTTTTGTGGTACTTGTCACAGTATGAGAAATGTTTGCACAGTCAAGGAGATCTGAAATTTCCAACACTAAAACAACCGTAGAAATATGAGTTCAATACTATCAAATATAAAAGAGATATTGGGAATCTGGAAAGGTAGAGCAGGTAAGCTCACTGATCATTCTATCAGCATATATTTTATATTCTGTGAAACAACACTTGATTTGCGCACCTCAAAGACTGACTTCCTGAGATAGCCTTCATTAGATATTCTCTGTGCTCGGTGTCAAATATTGTGAATTCACTTCTCAGTTTTGCAAGACTACCTTCCTTGGCCTGTGAGTTGAAGATAATGAACAACAAGAATATACATATGGTAATGGTCAAAGCAAATATTATTCCATGGTGCCGTGTTATCCAATTATGACGCATGGCTACGTGAACCTACTCAGATTGGATTCACTGATCAAGCTATGTAATTCTAGGTAATTCATTGTAACAAAACAATCGTTAAAAAAAATGCAGAATGCAAGATGAGTGATAAAACAAAGAAAGTCTGGTTGAGCATAGAACTTGTACAATTGAACCTGTTTACTGATATTATGTATGATTTGTTTACTGATATTTTGCAATTGAACTTGTACAAACAAAGAAAGTATCCATGAAATAAGTACCCCTGAGAGAAGGTCTGGTTGAGCATAGAACGCTCTCAGCACAGCAGCATATGCAGATCGCTTCAAGCGGTGAATCTGAAATGCCTCATCTCCAGCTTCTGGTATTGCACTTGCAAGCTCTAGAGTGTCCATCATTGGTTCCGTTTTGCTCTGTTGAAGTCAATTGCAACAACAAAGAATTCACTACTCCATATCAATTCATTTATTTTATGATGAACAAGATTTGGAAATTATGCACAGGTGAGGAGATATGACCAGAAAAATTAGATACCAAGACTATCATAGAAGCATGAAAATTGTAAAAGTAGGTGCGACATGTCAACTAAACGCTGTAAACATACAATAGACAGTGCCCTTTTCCTGTACAATGATGACACTGAAACAGATAGTGGAATAAACAAAAATATCGATCATCCTTATAGGATTTCCCTGTGTAATAAATAAAGATGAAAAAGGTATAGACCCAGGAAAATCTATCCAAACTGCACAATCTTTCCAATTTGATAGTTTTCAGCCAGAAATCATTCTGGAAAAATCCACCAAGTTCAAAGAACTTTTTGTTCAGACATATGTAGCACAATTCTACAAGTCCATATCAGAGACCCATCATCCCCCCTTCCACTCCAGAAATCAACACGCTAATGGCATAACAGAGGAGGTATCGCATCAATTACCCAGCAGATTTTGGGTCACCAGGGAACACCAACGCTACACCTGCACAAGCGAGCGCCCCCCCCCCCCCCCCCAAAGCCTAATCAAACTCCTAGGAACACAACATTAGAACCCTAAGGGTGCAGAACTCGTCGGTGAGCCCAGTCGCCGGCCCGGAGGAGAAGCACCCTAATCGAAGAGCGAGCGTCCCCTACCTTGTGATCGCTACCTCGAACTAATTCACCGCCCTCAATCGCGTGCGATCGGAGCTCCGCCAGGGGACGGGGATGGGAGGGGAGGGGGTGGAATCTGAGAATCTCGTACCAGCGGAGGGGGGTGCGACGGCGAGACGAGCCGGAACGGACTCCTTCCACCACGGCGGCGGCGGCGGCGAGCCACTCCGGCGTGGCGAGGCAAAAACCTCAGGCGACCAAACTCTCCCCGCTGCTGCTGCGGTTTCCCCCCCTGCAGAAAGGCAAATTTCAAAATTTTGAATCCACCTACCAGCCATAATACGCATTCTCCCAATACGCTTTCTATGCGAAGAGACGTATTTTCGCCACATAAACCCCTTCAAGGCTCCAGGCAACACGGCGTATTCTCCGAATACGCTTTCTGAAGGGAAGCAACACTGCCTCGCGCCAACGTCACGACGAGCACCCTGCTGGTCGCCGGCCGGTGATCGTCGGCGCTGGAGGTGGCGGCTCAGCCTTCGAATCCGCCAGTTGGAACCTGCAAGCTATAGCCTGACGCCACTCCACTGTGCAGTATCAGAAATTCAGACTGATATTCATCAGTACAAACTGTACAAGCATGTGCATTCCCTTCATTCATGATACAGAAACAAAGTTCTGGATACAGAAACAGAGTTCTGCATAACAAATCTATGGCAAGTGATGTATGTTATTTCGATCAACACCGTATGGCACACTTAGTGTTCAACTGGACACCAAACAATGTTTTATGTCAACAATTTACAGATAAATCTGTGACGAACAAATACGACGACGATCTGAGGATCATCAGGCTGTGCACATTACATATAGAAGAAGAAAAACCAATAGGGGGAAATCAATGGCGACTGGACGATCGTGTGGAGTTTGGACTGCACAGTGGCGTCGTGGGAGGATTCAACTTCTTCTAGGCTCAAGCCTGGGCAAGCTTCTTCACTATGGAGGCCATGTACTTGCCCTGGTGCTCGGCTAGGGCGAGCTCCGTCTCGCTGGGCTGTCTGCTGCCATCACCAGCGAAGACGCCAGCGCCATAGGGGCTGCCTCCTCTGATCTCATCCATCTTGAACATGCCTGACCCGAAGGTGTAGCCAATCGGGACAAAGAGCATTCCATGGTGCACTATCTGGGTGATTGCCGTCCAACTAAAATGAACAGAGAAGCATGGTCAGCAATAGCAGGGTGAAGATAGACTTCAAAACCAACTTAAACTGAGAAGCAAAATAGCAGTATACATGTTATTCTTAGTAAACTAGCTGATTGCCCTGTGCAAATTGTGAAGTGAATTAAAATTATCTTCTGCAAACGGAATCTAAATTTGGGATATTATATTCTGTTGAATTAGTGCCAACTTATTTGAAATCTCCCTAAGTGACAGGATTGAGATGTGGTTCTTTCAGAAAATCAATATATAAACAACTATCATATCTGGGCCTTTAACTTAGATCCACCAAATTAAAGCCTATATACCTCTCCCTCCCTCTAGAATTTTTGTTGGTATTCTCCATTTCTCAGCAGTAATAAAACCACCACAATAAACTTTCATTATAAAATAAATATTAACCTAAAATGCTTCTTTGAAAAAAAATGTTGGGTGGTATAGACATATAAACCAATAAAAGGAACCATAGCCTGGCAAAAGAGCAGAAAGAACAGTACTATAACTGTGACACATCTTCTAATTCTTATACATGTCCAAATGCCATGATGAAGATCATCATTTTTATCTCAAAATCAAGAAGGGTTGAAACAAGTGAATGGCTATTTTCCTCACACTTGGCGTGTAAGAAGTGGATTAAATATTTTGATCGAGGCAAGAACTGAATTCCCAACTGGGTTTGAAAATGATAAATCCAAAATTTTCACAGATACTACTAAATATTGTGTTGTACCCACTACCTCCATCAATTGGTTATGAATTTCATATCCAAATGCTTAGGACAGCACCTGAGTTGAGCCGGAGTACAGCAGATCCTGATCAGCTAGAGAACAAGATGCTATGCATGCTGTGCATTAAATCAAGATCTCTTTTTGTACAAATCATCTTCAATATCCTGCTATTCATAAATGCATCCATGACCACACTACCTTTGTTGTTAATAGTCTCACAGTACAGAATCATGGCTATTAATTATTGAGGAAGTAGTGCGTAAGGATTTTGAACAGCCACAAGAATAAGACCTCGTTTCCACAATTTGGAACTACCAAACAATTGGTAACGCACCATGACAAGGACATCTTAGTATGTGACATTAACTTGCTGATGCCCCCAGGGCGAATTACTTGAAATTTGTCAAGATAGGTGCAATTTGACTGATATTTATTGGAACCCCTTTCAATCTCAGATATCCTCACCTACTATATTTGACTTATAAATCTGTCCTAGAGGTAAACGCACACGCTCACTGAACAGAGACAGATTGAGTGCAACAGCAAGCATCATGCTGAAAATTGGAGTGAAGGAACAATTAAAAAATTAAACCTATGATATTGAACCAAAAAGGGGAAAAAAAGAGAAGAAGAGAAACAGTTAGTGCCTAAATTACTGCCAATACAGAACATATGCTATATCACCAACCAACAAAGTGGTTGCAAGCACTCAGCACTAACCCAAAAAAAAAAAAACAGTCCACTGATGAGGGGTATGTTCAAATTTGAACTGAGTAGAAACAACAGCATTCAAGGTTCAGTTCAACATCTAAAACACCTAGTATATGTCATTTCTTATCCCAAGAACTAGATAATCTTATGAATGGAAAAGGAAGTGGTCTAATCCAGTCCACTTTAAAGAATCAATCACTACTATCCATGATAGCAAGCACTAATATAAAGATGATATGATTAGCAGCTTAATTAATCCATTTCTGAAGAAAAGCAGATGAGATGCTTACGCGGTGGTCTCCTGGCCGCCTCCCTGCGTGCCGGTGCTGACGAAGAACCCGGCGGGCTTTCCGGCGAGCTTCTGCTTCTCCCAGAGGGAGCCGGTGGAGTCGAAGAACGCCTTCATCTGCGCGGCCATGGCGCCGTACCTCGTCGGGAACCCGAACAGCACCCCGTCGGCCTCCTCCAGGTCCGCCGCCGCCGCGATGACCGGGACGGCGGGGTCCTTGGCCGGCGCCTGCATCTTCTCCAGCACGCCCGGCGGGAGCGTCTCGGGGACGCGCCGCAGCACCGCCTCCACCCCGTCCACCGCCGCGACGCCCGCCGCCGCCCGCCGCGCCAGCGCCTCCACGTGCCCGTACATCGAGTAGAACACGATGTACAGCCGCAGCCTCCGCCGCCCCCCGGCCGCCTCCCCCGACGCCTCCGCCTCGGGGGCGTCGCGCGGCGCCGACGACGACGACGGCGCGCCGGCGACGGTGCTGGCCGGCGGCTGCCGCTTCTTGCTGGGGACGCAGCCGCCGCCCTTCCCCATCACCGGCCGGTCAAACCCAACTCCGCCGCGGCGGCGCCCCCCAAGAAAGCAAGCTGCAGCCAACGAATCACAAACACCCGGCAATTCAGCAGCAAACAAACACCCCCGCAAATCTTAGACAATTCCGCAACAGAAACCGAGCCGCCGCGGATCTGAGGCAAGAACTCGCGCGCCCCACCCCGGACTGACCGCGAATTCAGAGAGCAGGAACGCGATCTTGGAAGAAGGTAGCGGAGAGGAGAAGGCTTTACACCACCTCGGGAGTTGGGCCGCCGCGCTGCTCGTGCTCGCGTCGCGTCTCGGGGAGGTGGAGTGCGATAGGGAGAAGAGTGGTGGGGTGGGGGGGTTGTGTTGTGGTGCCAAAAATGCCAGCTCAGGGAGGACCGGAGGAAGGCAGCGGCCAGCGAGTTGGAAAAAAAATATACTGTAGATTTTTTTTAAGGGAATAGAGGATTAGTTTAAGGAAGGAGGTTTACACTTTACAGTACTGCACATTCAGTAACAGACACTGACGTGTGGGCCCGATACTGATCCATTGCTACTGCATCGACAATACTGCAGAGGATTTGGCTAGATTCATGCACAAGGATGATGGAAATCAATTCATCATTAAAGTGTAAATTTCACAAAAATTATGTGTACTTTAATTAAATTATAATAAAACTATAGATTCAAGACGTCGTATCATAGAACTATAGATTTAACACAACGTTTATTAGAAAACTACTAATTTAAGATCAACTATCACAAAACTATAGATTTAATACTAGAGTTATCACAAAATTATAGATTTTACAATTTAAATCCCTACTACTATTGTTATGTTAGAATTATAAATGTTGTAGTTTTGTATTTAACATGGTACAAAACATGTCGTTTTGTGATCATTTTATTACTACATCGGTAGTTTGGTGATCTTCCACCTTAAATCTGTAGTTATTTGATAAATTTGGTCCTAAATATGTATTTATGTGATATACCTTTTTAAATTTATAGTTTTATAATAGTTTGATCAAAGTACATGTAGTTTTATGAAATTTACTCATCCTTAAATAGGACTAGTATAATCCATCAGTCTCAACATGAAGTTATATATTTTTACTCCTCCTAAAATTAAGCTATTTCTTCGCTTACGCTCGCGTCTTAGCTAATCGCACTCATCCTTCATTTAATTTTGGGAAAGTTGCAGAAACCATCCCAAAAGCCACTTGAAGTTTGACATTCCACCTCATAAATCACTTTGTTGCAAATATCCACCCCTACTCAATTTTGTGCAAAAACCATCCCAGTGTGTACATGCTTATCTAATAAAGCCTGTTAACACTTATGTAGAGCCACCATAGGCTAAGCTAGCCGAGTCAATCTTAGCAAAGTATTTGCATTAGACTTATTCTTTATGTTTCATTGATTTCTTTTCTGCATATACCGAAATTGAGTGCAACAACGTTTAAACTCTCATCAGCAATTCTATTTATGCAATATCCAAAAAAATTAAGGCTATACTCCTAGAAGTATTTTACTTTGGTAAAGACCATATAGACGCCTCACATTTTACAAAACCATGCATATCAATTTGGTTAAGCAAGTGCGCACTAGGGTGTTTTTCAAACAAAACCGAGAGGGATGCGGGTATTTGCAAGGAATGTTAAAATTTCAAGTGACTTCTGAGGTGATTTTTTTTAATCTTCCCTTGAATTTTTTCACCACATTTTCTTTTCACTAAGTGACAGCCTTTCCTAAATCATTTTTCACGTATCTTATATACTTGTATAGTTTATCCCCACTAAGTATAGTTAATGTTATTTCTCTCTTTTCTCATTAAGCCACATCACCCCAATCATTTATAGCCTTTGAATGATAGATCTATGGTCTAAATTGTCTTTTCTTTCTTCTCTCTTAAAAACATGCAATCTCAATTACTTTTAGGTTCAAAATTGTATCAAATTGTTTTTAGTTTTGTATATATTATACAACTTAATTTTCCGCAGCAATATGGTGGGGTATTCATCTAGTTTTTTTAATGTCTGTGTCCAACTCCAAAAATACACATTGCATTTTAAGACGATAATATATCATTCTTAGTTTCTTAGCATTTCTACAATCAATTTAAGCATGGGTCTTCTGAATGTAGTTTTGTGAGAATCATTCCAAAGAAATGATTCAATTGAAAATTAAGAAATTATAACAACAGTATCTGTGTAAATTATTGCAAAGTTCTTTTTATTGAAATGTATATTTGCATGTACCGGCATATCCCTAAATGAGCTTGGGTAGGTGAAGGAAATGGAGTACCAACAACGGAAATTTGTAATTTTCTCTGGCAACAAATGTTGAAACCGTGTAACAAAATGTATTAGGGCAAGTACTATAAGGGCACATGTGTTGCTTCTAAAATTGTCACATGGGATTAGGTGATGAGGTGGAGGAGAGAAAGTGAAGAGAGAGCATGAGCCACCTCTCATGCAAGAGGCAACCTCTATATAATTTTCAAGAAAAAGTGCAAACAGAAAATGAAATAATGAATCGATTAAAGAAAATGTTGGAGTTTGTGTACATGGAGATAACATATTGTACATGTTGCATCTTAATTAGTTTATAGATGACATGAGATGTAGTAATCACCCTACTATATAAAACTTGCTCTCATAAAAAATGGCTTATGGCTTGTAGTTTTTTTTAGTAACATTTTTATTGGTTTTGGGAGACGATCAGTTTATCTTAATGTGGATCAAACAGACCCTTCAATTTCCATAGTTGTTTTCTCGCTAAGTTACTTTGCGATTACCTTTCTTTGGCTTCAAATCACCGCGTTATAAAAAAAGGAAAGAGGGTAGCATTATTCCAAGCACAACAACACACAAAACGCTCCATTTTGCAGCTTTTCGGGGCATACCACAGAATGTTGGTTGGTATCTTCGCCTTCTAGAAGACATTGACCCCAGAAGATCACAGCCGACCTGTTCTGTTCTTTGTTGTGTCCGCAGCTCAGTCACGATATCTTTTATCTTTCACCAACTCTCTGGTCCATGATGTACACATGATGCAGCCGTGAAGGCACCATTATAGACCACTGCAATTTTTTATCTTTCTCAGACAGTCTGTTAAGAGAAACTCCTTTTTTAGTGTGCCAAAAATGACTCCTCGCACTAAAAGTTTTCAATCTTAGAGTCCACAATTACACATATACGGGTGTATTTTCACTAAAAAATTCTAAGGTTCACATATTTGTCTGTTGGCCACTCTACGCTGGATGCGTATTAAGAAGGTAAACTTACAGTACGTACATGTGTAATATGGTGTGTATTAAGAATACAAACTTTATATACACATGTAATGGTGTGTGCGACGGTACGTGTAAACGCTGTCCATGCCATTGTGAAATAAACAAACTCTGGAACATCACAAACAGTTCCTTTCAAAGGGTTGGAACTGATCACCATCAACTAGGATTTCTTTTAAATTATTGCGATCTAAATAGGGTCCTTACATAACTGATGGGAATAATCCAGTTGGACTATGGGCATCCAATTACCAAAGAGTTTCAACAATATTGTATGATGACTTGGGGGCAACGGTTATGGACTGCTCCCTTCTTCCCAAAATAAACATATCTAAAGTATGATATGACATGTTATGTTAAACTCTATCCTAAGATTAATTTATTTTAGAATGGAGGGAATATTTAGGAAGTGAAGTTAAATGTACACAGATACATGAGAGAGAGGATATGACATAATTATGCATAGCAAGCTTCAAATCTCAGGTTCCATTTATTTATATTTTCTTCATTGGTTTAGGCTCTTTAGAGAAGTTAATGCGTGAAAGGGTCTATTTTGCAAAAATCTCCCTATGTACACTGGTGGAGAAACCATCTTTGCTCGGTCGCTCAAAATCCATAATAGTCCCGGTTCGAATAGAAACCGGGACTAAAGATTATTTTTAGTCCCGGTTAAAATTTTTTTGATCTTTAGTCCCGGTTGGTAACATCATTTTTAGTCTCGGTTCAAAAAGTTATCGGATCGAGTTAGACCCCAATTCTTTTTTAGTCCCGGTTATTTATACCAACCGGGACAAAAATCAACCGAGCCGTGCACCACTGCCCCGCCCGGCCGCCTCGGTCTCTCCCCCTTCCTCTCCCCTCCCCTCTCATTAATTAAACAGCCTCCCTTATCCCTTCTCCATCCTCAGCCTCATCCAATCCTCCATCCCTTCTCTCCCATTCCTCTCCCTTCTCTTCTCTTCCTCCTCCTCCTCGTACCAATGAGGCCGGGCAGCGCGAGGCGGCAGGGAGAGTGCGGAGCGGCGGGTGGCTGCGCAGGCGGCCAGTGAGGCCGGCGAGGCGACGAGGCGGCGGAGCCCGAGGTGGCAGCGGGCGGGCACCGGCAGCCGAGGCGGCGGGCGGCGGGAGGCGACACTCCCCAGGCGGTGGTGGAGCCCGAGGCGTCTGGGTGGGAGGCCGGCGAGGCGGCGGACGGCCAGCGCCCGATCTCTGCGATGTGGTTTTTTCCTGATCTGTGCGATGTGTGCGGCCGATCTATGTGATGTGGATTTCTTTTTCTGATCTGTGTGATGTGTGATGTGTGATGTGTGAATGAATTTGTGGAGATGATTTTGTGATTTTGTGAATGATTTGTGATGTATTTGGGGATAGAAAATGCAGCTTGATATATTTAGGGATTTTGTGAATGATCTGTGGTGTTCGAATGATTTGTGGATAATATGAATGATTTGTGGGGCTCGAAATCATGCAAGCAGCAGGAAAGAAAAAAGAACACCAACCGGAACTAAAGAACGGTTGGTAACTCCAACCGGGACTAAAGATTTAGTCCCGGTTGGTTTAGTCCCGGTTATTTCAACCAGGACTAAAAATGGGCATTTTTAAGTCCCGGATTCGTAGTCCCGGTTCGTAACCAGGATTATAGGGGGGTTGCGAACCGGGATTAAAAAGGGTTTGTCCACCAGTGGTATATACAAAATCTCGTATAGGCTTTCAAACCACATGATTTCTAGCAAGTATTTAATCAAGAAGGAAGTCCAACCCTCTCACGCAAACACATCTTCTTGCGCATTGGTCCTGTTTGGCTACTGATTTTGCGGTTGCGCCACAGCCGACACCAACAGTATTGCACAAAAGCAGCATAGACGCTGCCGCTGCAGTCGGCTTGCTGAACATGCCCATTAGCACTATTAATGTATCTTTGTAGAAATATCAATCGTAAGTGTGCCAATAAAAAAGCGTGTGGTTGCTATCTATTCCGTGTTGTACTATGTTTTGAAACTAAGCTATCGAGGGTAATCTTTAGGCCTATATGGATTGCTACCCTACCAATTCTTTGGTAGAGTAAGATTGCAGTTGGTTATATTTGGTTTGCTACCAATATGAAGCCAACATGTGAATTATAGGGAAGAATGTTATATATTGATGACAAATCTAGCATGGGCTTCAATCTAAACTAAGCATAAGTACTATTCAAACTACCAAAACAATGGTAGGTCGTATTTTGGTAGCAATCAAAAAGCCCTTTATTAGTTCATGTAGTGGTGTTGGTGGGCAACTCTAACAAAAATGTTCCCATATAGTAACCCCCGGTCTAAAACTTAAAATAATTAGGTGTTACATTATTGAGCTGATGAGCTGATTAACTAACAAACTAATACATAGAATAATTGATAAATATCATAGATTATAAAGTTAATAAATAAATCAGAAGAAAATATTAAGCAATTGTCATTTACAAGGTTTTTTGGAAAAATCATACCTTTCGAAGTGTGTCACAAATAATTGTATTGAGCTAGTAAGCTGATTAACCAATATATTAATAAAATATCATGATTATAAAGTTAACAAAGAACTTAGACAAAATATTAAGAAATGGTCATGAACGTTTTTGAATAGATCATACTTCGAAGCGTGTCAAGAATAATCCATACTTCCATTACCTAAACATAAGTTAAAAAAAAAGAATAGGGTCTACAATGGAGCTCCACTGCAGCACACACAAAAAAAATAACTATATACTTTGGTAAAAAAATAACTATATACACACCAGCCTTTGAGCACGAAAAATGTTTAGATAATATAGGAGTATTATATTTTTTTTCATGCTATATATTTGGATAATATAAGAATAATTTGTAAGATATGTTTAGATCCGTATTTTTTTGAAATGATTTAGATCTGTATAATTGATGATTTAGTTATGTAGATCGTTTGTGCAACAATGTGAATACTACAATAATACGCATAAAACCATAAGCTAATCAACCCAAGTCATTCTCATCTCTTATACCTTATCCACCCCCAAATCGATCCGATATGACAAATGTCGAGTGACAACTAATTATTCATCATTATCTAGTAAAAGAACTAATTATTCATAGCCCGAGCTAGAAAAGTGCTTATTCTGTCCTATAATATACACCATCAGTAAAAAATAAATCCTAACTATGAATTTGAGTGAGCACGTCCAGATTTATACCGAGCCAGGATTTGATTCTTTCTGGGACGTATGGTGTAGCTATTTTAGCATTGTAATTTGTTTCAAAATAAAGCTATTTTCTAACTTCACTTTCTCTCAACCAATCTTAATTATTCTATGTTTAATTTTCACCTATTTTATTTTCTTTACCTATCATAATTTTCCTCCAATTATTTTTATCTACTTTTTAATACCCGTATTCATATAAAAAAGTACTTTATATTCTAGAACGAAGGACGAAGGTCATATCTTATCCTTACCAACAGATCTACTCTTGCCATCTCAAAATACGTAACCAACGTTATGATATAATCAAACTAGTATTTCTGTCATTGGTTGCGAAGGAAATATTTGTGTGAACTGTACGTATGGATACGAAAGGGGAATCAAGCAGGTCAGTGCAGTAGGCGGTTTGGCAATTGGCACTGACAGCTTTTTTCGATCAACTAGCCGCGTACCATCAAACGAAAAGTACAGTATATATGCAACAACCATTGCGAAATGATCCTCCAACGATAAACATAAACCGTCACACTACAAGCTAGTCAGCAACGACCATGAGCGACACGGACGCGTGCAGATTATTGCACAGGCACCGGCCGTTCCGGCAGACGAAGCTGCCAATAACCCAAATCGAAGTTCTTTCTCTTCACCCAGCAACCTGCAGCTGGAATTGGATTCTAACACTTTGTCCTACAAGAAGCAGGCGTGCAGTCTGTTAGTAGGAAATCAATCTTTTCCACGAGAGAGAACGGCCTACCAACACAAGACTGCAGGCATGGCGACAACGACGGCGACGACACTTGCGGCCAGCGCCGGCGACGGTTCTTCCCCGCCGTCGCGGTCCACCGTCATGACCATCGCGGCGCAGGCTTATCACGTACTCAAGATCAACGGGTACTCCAACACCTTGAAAGCCGGCTGCCACTACCCCCTCAGCTCCTGTCCGTTCAGCGCAGGAGGCCACACCTGGCATGTCTCAGCTACTACCCAAACGGATGCCGCGACAGCAACAAGGACTGCATCTCCATCTTCCTCGCGCTTGAGGGCATCGTCACCGAGGATCGGAGGACGTGCTGGCAAAAGCTACATTCAGCCTGCTCGATCGATACGGGAACCCGGTGCTGTCGTACACCTATCACACCAAATTCCGTAACTTTTCAACATATTCTGGTAGTGCAAGGGGGTTCAAAAACTTCATTAGGAGAGACGAATTAGAGCGATCGGAATATCTCAATGATGACTACTTTGCCATTGCTGCCCATGTAATCATCCCAAAGGAAAAGCCATCTGTCGTCGTACCACCGTCGAACATGCATCTGCATTATGGTGATCTCCTCGTAAGCAAAGAAGGCACCGATGTCAAGTTCCTGGTCGGTGGCGAGATGTTTGCGGCGCACCGGTTGGTGCTGGCGGCACGGTCACTGGTCTTCAAGGCAGAGCTTTTCGGGCCGACGAAGAAAGGCACCATAGATGCGATACAGATTGACAACATGAAAGCACGAGTGTTCAAGGCTCTACTTGGGTTCATCTACACAGACATTTGGCCAGAGATAGGTCATGGAAAAGACAATGTAGCTATGGCTCAACAGTTGCTTGCTGCTGCAGACAGGTATGGCTTACAGAGGTTAAAGTTTGTCTACGAAGATAAGTTGTGCAACCACATTGATACATACTCAGTGTCAACCATGTTGGTGCTAGTGGAGAAGCACCATTGTTGCAAACTCAAGGAGGCATGCTCTACGTTCCTTAGTTCCATGAGCCCTCCTATTGTTGAAGATCCAAATTCCAGCATATTTGGTAGTGAATTGAAGAAGACGGTTTCTTCTTCAGAGAACCATGGAAGTCAAATTAACCGTACAGATATTAGGATTCAACTGTGGCAAAATGCAGATGTCTAGAAACGTTATTTCCAGTGCTATAAAATTTGTTTACTTTGTTTCTAATAATTATGTAGATTGACTTTGGACTTGAGTTTTTACGAGATGGTGTATCCTTATATATGTTGTCAATCATTTTTTTTAAAAAAATAGAACTACTGATATTTGAGAAATGAGAAGTGGACCCACACGTATCTAGGACGTAATAGTGGAGGTTCACAAATCTCCTGACAACGATTGCCTTTCTCAGGCGAGATTTTTTTTGTTCACCACTTACTTTTTTTTGCACCAATTTTGTTTTTTGTAAGTTTATATACGTAAAATTTATATTCAAATGTTTTTTTCGCCTTTCCTAGGCGAGATTTTTTTTTTCACCACTTACCTTTTTTTGCACCAATTTTCTTTTTGTGTAAGGTTATATACCTAAAATTTATATTCAAATGTTTTTTTCACCACTTACCTTTTTTTTGGCACCAATTTTCTTTTTGTGTAAGGTTATATACCTAAAATTTATATTCAAATGTTTTTTTTATGTATGGAGTTTACTGTATATATTTATAAATATAAAGTCTATGCACATTTATTATTTTTAAGAATATATTTTAAGGGTATTAGATTTTTTTAACTTCTATTTTTTTAAATGGTTTGAAATTCATAGGGAGGGGATCATCAAGCAAAGGAGGAGGGGGCTAGGGAATGCCCGATCGCCTGCTTTACCCCTCCCAAATTGGTACATGTTATACTCAGCTGACGACAAGGTGTTTCTCGACAAGTGCATCCTGGCCTCAGTTTATAAAGGACTGAAACTTATGTTTGGTAAGCGAGGTGGGACGCTAGTGGCTGCACCGTATGGGCCTCGAAATTGGCAAGGGAAAGGACCCGCAGTTCATATGTGTGCCGTGCTCGGACCTCATCGTCCTGCTGGCTGCTGCTGCTGCTACGATGCCACCGGCCAGCGGAACGCGTTGGCGTTTTCGAAGGTGCGGTTCGGGCGCGAGGACACGTCGTACGTGTGATCGATGCTGATCACGGCAGTGGGCGCGACGGTTGGTTCTCGATCGAGGTGGCACGGCAGACGGTCGCTCGCGCACGCGCGGCAAACATTCAGGATGAGATCGTCGGCTTGAGACGCCATGTATATATGCTGCCGCTCACCCCTCGTCGTCGTCGAGAATCATATCGGCCACGCACCGGCTCCGCTGGCTGGCCGCGTACCTCGAGGGCGCGTACGACGTATTACGACGTACGCGCCGACAAATTTACGTACGCGCGCGCGAGCGACACAAGCCCCACGGCGAGGCAGCTGCACTGGCTCCCGCCCATCGGCGCGCAGGGCCTCGCACCGACGACGAAGAACATCGACGGCCAGGGCACCATGCACCGACGCGTACTGCGGAGTCACCATGTACGCGGGCAGAAGTCTCGTCGACTCGTTGCTGTCCGCGGTGAAATGAGCAGTACACCTGGGAGCTGGAATTCGAATAGTTGGTCCGGCACGACAACGGTCTGGCTGCAAATTCCGATTGAGTTTTGAGAAGACACACTTTCGCCTGAGCGCCGTGCGCAGATACGGTAGTCGTTCATCGATCAGATCTAAGTAGTGTCTTTGACTCCCGTGTATTCGTTAATAACATTTTCTCAAATAGTCCAGACGTAACCGTGTTAACGACCAGATTTGATAATTCAAGTATCGGAGATGGAGATAAAACCGAAGCGGAATCTAAGATAGAGATCGTTCAGGAAACAGAGTCCGAATCGGCTGCGACCAGAATCGGCAGAGTTCAAGTCGGACAAGGCTAGCCGATTGAGCCGATTCCGACAATACGACTCGGTGCACGTCATCGGGTTAGGTTGAAGTGCTTCATATGGATTGCTATGCACGGATTGAGTCCTAAGAAGATAATTGTATCTATTAATTAGGATATTTTATGTAATTTTCTTAGAGATAAGCTTGGGCAAAAGTCTGCCGCAAAGACTTATGGTATTTTAGAGTTTGTTAGAGATAAAAATCATGTCCGATATGGACATATTTTGTAATCTCGGGTATAAATAGACCCCGAGCCCTATGTAATAAAATTAACACACGTTCAATAATAATCTCGGCGCATCGTCACCCTTTTTACTTTCGTTTCATCTCGACGAGTTCTTGCTTTCGGATTGAGCTGCATCGGTTTTGATCTTCAGCTAGAGGTAAACTTGTCATGGCGGCTTGCGTTCTCGGGATTATTGCTTCCATCTTTATGACACTCTAATCTTGTTTATGTAAGTTATCGAGTTATCATATATCCTATATAATCTCCGGCAATATTGTTATTTAACCTTCAGTCGGCTAACATCTATCGCTAGAGGGCAGCCGATTAGGTTAAATACCAATGTTGACTTAGATTATATAGGGTATCTACCACCCTATGAAACATCCAACGGCTTGATTGTCTAGATATTGTTCTTCTTTTCATAATTATAGCTGCATCAGTTGAGTTTGACCTAAGTCGTGATTAGAACCTCAATCTCACTACGAGAGAATTATGCTATTGCCATGAAAATATTGCAACAAACTTTTATTGTGGCAAATGCATTATTCTATTGCCATGTCTGGTCATCTTGTGGCAATTGGTAAATTATATCACAACAATTTATTATTGTTGTTATACTTTTATTTTTTGTTGCAATAAACAGCGGGCTATGGCCACACGGAAAATTACTGTAGCAATAAGGGTATTTTTTGCAACAGTTTTTTTTATGGCAACTAACGTATTCTCTCTGGCCACAATATATTACTGTTGCGTTAATTTTGGACTTGTTGCAATGTACCAGTACTATTGCCATGACTTGTAGGTTAAATTGTGGTGATAGTATTTTTTTTTGTAAAACAAATATTTTTTTTGAGTGATGAAAAATTTAGACGTAACTGATGTGGTCTCAATTTTTTATCCTTTGGCGGGTCCTAATTTCTTTTTTGGCGCCTAAGTGCAGGATGCCGGGAGTTGTTCTTTTTTTTTAATAATGGAATAAAATAACATTCCGGCCTTTACTCAAAAGAGCTATAGCCAATTATTACAAACTAGCACTCTGTAAGAGTGCAGGCCAAAAGAAAGCAAACACACCAACCAAAATTAAAAGGAAACCAAACTACACAAAATAACATTATTTCAGTCTATTGGTAAATCTCCATTCATGATTGGCAAACAATTGCATAACCTCGTTTCAAGCATACGACACGCAACAATTAGGAATTCTCCATCTTCATCACACTTTTGTAACTGTGCCACAGACGAAGCCAATATGTTGGCTTAAAAATAACCTCTATATAAGTAACAGTAGGTGATTTGTCAAAAACCGTATCATTTCTACTCAACCACAAAGCCCGACACAAGGCAGAAGCTCCAACAAGTATCAGTTTGATCTTTTTGTTTATGACTCCTTGAAGCCAATCATAAAAAATATGAGATATGCTAGTAGGAATATATCAACCAAAAGAAAACTGAACTGCTCTTCAAATAAACTTTGCAAAATGACATTCAATGAACAAATGTTGGATAGACTCATTTTTTTTTACAAAAGCAACATCTTAAATTACCATTCTAATTTCGTCTTGCTAAATTATCCTTGGTTAACACAACTCCCTTAAGCAAATACCACATAAAGATCTTGATCTTAAGTGGCATCTTATGTTTCCAAATTAACTTATTTCTATCAATGTAACCATTGTTAATTAAAGCTAAGTACATTGATCTAACTGAAAATTGGCCATTCTGATGATAGTTCCATCTAAAACAATCAGAAGTATTATTCAACTGAATATGAACAATAGATGCACAAAATTCATGCCAAAGTGTTAAATTCTGACCAACTAAAGCTCTCCTGAAAGAAACATTGAGTGGAACAGAAGCCATAACACTAGCAACAGAAGAACTTCTCCTTCTGACAATAGCATATAAAGATGGATACTTTTCTCTAAAGGCCATATTTTCTAGCTATTTATCTTCCCAAAAATCTTTTTTTCCCCATTATTCACAATCCAAGAACTCGTAGTTAAGAAACAAAAATGGGAGTCACCTTGTTTCCTGTCAACTTGGGTAATAGACTTATTGTAAAGATACTTTCTCTTCAAAAGGTCTTGCCAAACACCATTTTCATTTCTTTACATAAATAACCACTTACTCAAAAGACATATATTTTGAATCTCTAAATTATGAACCCCCAAACCACCCTGTTCTTTGGGTTGGCAAATAATAACCCATCTAGTAAGTCTATACTTTTTCTTATGATCGTCACCTTGCCAAAAGAAACAAGATCTATAATAATCAATCTTTTGAAGAACCACTTTCGGAATCTCAAAAAAAGATATCATAAACATAGCTAAACTTGAAATGACAAAATTATCAAAACTAGTCTACTCCCAACAGACATTTGTTTTCCTTTCTAGCTGCTAAGTTTTTTCTCAATTCTTTGTTCAATAACTTTCCAATCTTTATTACAAAGCTTTCTAAAATGCATTGGAATACCGAGATATTTAACTGGAAACAACCCTAACTTACAATCAAAGATATTAGAATATTGCTCATAATACTCCTTTGCCTGACCAAAGCAAAATAGCTCACTTTTGTGAAAATTAATTTTCAAGCTAGATAATTTCTCAAAGATAGACAATATCAATTTTAAATTCTTTGCTTGTTGTAAGTCATGTTCCAAAAAAATGATGGTATCATCTTGTCACACCCTGAAGTTCTTTCCCAAGCCTAAATTGAAGTTATAAATGGTCTCAAGAAAATACCAGTGTAAAGCAAGAGTAAACCTTAATAAATTAATGCAAATAATAATAGGAATTGGCATGTGGAATTTTTCTTGAGTTCTACATGTCGAAATACGCTAACAAGATTTTTAGTGGAATTTTCAGAGCTCTAGAAATAATTTTAACCAATTAAAATTGAGCACAAGCAATATTTAATCCCTAGAAAATTCATTTTCCTTTTTCTTTTTTTTCTTTTCTCTTTTTCCTTTGAATGGGCCGCCGGCCCATT